GGGGGGGGGTTGGCGGGGAGGTAACACGAATTAATAAAATTAATAAGTACGAAATGTTTTTAGTCCGGTCTACATACATAATACGGAATACTGTTGACAAACACCCACAATATATTGTTCATAAAGTATTACTATAAAGGTAAAACACGTCGTAATTAAATACATATGGGTACAATATTTTGTGTGTGTGTTTGTGTATGTGTCTATGGTGCAGTGTATTTCGTGAGTGTCCGATGCGTATAAAATATTTAAATAATACCGATTATTAGAGTATTCAATAAGTTACACCGAAATCGGTCATACAGAGTGGTGTATTAACAATAATATAGGTACAATAAAATTATGCTGTTCGTGTTTTATCGTATATTAAATATAAAGAGCATCGTTCGGGTGTCGTCGTTCGACGTTCAACAAAACGCGGTAAAAAAATACGTATATGTTTTTTTTTTTTTTTTTTTTGTTTTAGCTATATAAAAACGAGTTCGAATTCCAACGTAGAAAAAAAAAACACCGCCGGGTTGATGAAATTCAACTATAACGACGAGGGGGTTAATTTAATAATAATAATTTTAAAAAAAACATACGTTAAAAGATTGTCTGGTATCGAAAAAAATATGCATAAAGCACACTATATAATATAATAATATTATATTCCTAACTAGATTATAATATAATAATAGTACATGATTTCCTTCGAAAATAATAACTCATTAAAACGTAACGTGTTTTTTTTTTTTTTTTTTTTTTTTTGTACCTCTCAATATATATAGATATATAAATATATATATATAGATATATAAATTAAACAAAAGCGTTTGGATTTTTTTATTTTTTTTTTTTTGTACCTCTCAATATATATAGATATATAAATATATATATATAGATATATAAATATATATATATATATATATATATATAAAGCTTTTGCCTAAAAATTATACAATTTATTATAATATAAGTGATAAAAAAAACAAACAAACGAAAAAATATATAACTCTTGAACACCTATATACAAATGCAATCTAAGATAATAATAATAATAATATTTAACAACATGTTTTTACAGAAAGTAATAATAATATAATATAATATATTTAAAACAAAATAAAATAAAACATTAAAATATTACACATAGGTGCCTATAATATAATATAACTTTGTACAATATATTAATATTATGTTGTTTTGAACGCATAATAATATCTATTTAAATATGGTAGTTTTTTTTGATAACACTAGCTTTTATGTAACAAAAACGCGTTTTTAATAAATATAAAAAATAAAACTATTTGTTCAACAATAATTTTCAACGATCGGTGTTTCGCGTCCATTTGCGTTCGACGATAATAACGATTATTATTGTATAATTTGTTATAATATTAGAGAACAGAGGCGTCCGAAAAGGAAAACTTAAGAATCCCGAACACCCCTACGGTTTAAAATCAGCAGTTGTCGCATAACGACGTGACCGTCTTTATACGCCGTTGGGTAAGGTCAGGGTATGTTTTTTTTTTTAATATGTACGTATAAAAATCGTCAAACGGTTGTATTTTTTTCTTCGATTTTCGTATTTAACGCGGTATAAGTAAATTCCATAGGATATCCCGATATGACGAACTAATAAATATATAGGTATAATACGATATCGAACGGATGAAATTATTTATTTATTTTTTGGCCGAAACTTTTAATTCATTTTTCAGATTTCGAGACGCTCATAAAATTAAAAGGAAAATATTTAACATTGAACTCGTTTTCGTGTTCCAATAAAGAAATAATGTTTGTTTTTTTCGGACAGTTAAGTATGTGTGTTGGTTAAATACGTTTTATATCATCACGAGCCCGATTTCCAATCAATGTAATATCGACCTTAGTAGTTTGTATAGCGGCAATTATTATAAACATCAGGGTATTCGAAATCGGTTAAATATTCAAAGAGGATGAAGATTTTACTTGTTTTGAAATATCTATAATTCGCGAGAAAGGACAATATTAAATTATGTAAGTTTATCGTTAAGCGCTTAAATATTAAAATAACAACGTTTAATATGGATGCATGATTCATAATAAAAAAAAAAACAAATTCAAAAAGTAAGTATAATATGTATATATATATATATATATATATATATATGTATATTTTTTTTTTTTTACTTTAAATTTTGGGAACAATTTGTAATTTAATATAAATTATTATATATTTATAACAATGTTTTAGACTGCATAAGATCAATTGAAAAAAAAAAATCACCATTTCGGTTGTAACACATATTATTATGTGATTATATAAAAAATGAATATGTAAATAAAATAAAAAACAAATATATATGTAAAAGCCCCTAACGAATAATCGCCATGTATTATAATAATAATTTACCAAACGATTGTTGATGGAAAAAAGAAAATATCATTAAAAAATAAAAACCCATTAATAATACGATATTACGTATAATAGTTAACGATGGCGTTATTTTTCAAATCTTCGATAAAAAAAAAAAAAAAAAAAAAACAAAGGTATACATTTTTTATTTAATGTTTTCTCGATAGTTAATTGTTAACGTGGCTCAGTACCTATTTGTATGGTAATAATATGTAATTCGTTCGACATTTTCATATATACACGGTTTGTTATTGGACATCAGTTCGAAGCAAACGATATAGTTTTTCCTTTACGAAAGTTGGACGTATTGTGTGTGCACTGTGTGAATTTTGCTAAACGCAGAAAGGTCACGACGTGGCGTTCGAAATTTAGAATTTTTCGGGAACGACAAAAAAAACCTTAAGCGCCTGTAGAGCTTTTATTTAATATTTCATAAAACCACCGTAGTATGTTGTAAATTACACGTAAATCTAACACGTCACATAACACGCGTTGTACTCGTGCTTTTTTTTTTTTTTTGTCTAAGATATTAAGTATTTTTCGTCTCGGAGAGGGTTATAATTTTACAATTTGAACGCGTGGCCTTTCTGCATTTAGCGAATTTCGCCGGTTGGAATATTTCGGTAATATTATTACGTTGATATTTTGTGAACGTTCGTTTCCGCGAGAATAGATATTATTCAACAATATTATTATACGGTAACGACGTGCGCGATAAAAATTAAAACTTTTTGCGCTGAATTAACAACAAATTTGTTTCGATAAATGTACACGTATATAATAATAATAATAACAATAATAATAGTAATAAAGACAATGAAAATCACACGGCGTACAAATTAATAATTTAAAATTTAAAATCGTCCAAACTATTTTTTTGCGAAAATTTGGCACAGTCTAACGTATATTGTAATCGTAGATTATACAGGTATATTTTATTTTATTATAATAATATTATGTACAAAATCACTTTGTAAATTTCGTTTAATAATAAAAAATAATAATAATAAAATGTTCAAGCCGACCACAAAAAATTGTAAAATATTATGAATTTCGAAAATTTGGCATTTAAACGCCATAATAGTTAAAATAATACGAACGTTTGAAAATTTATTAAAATAATTGAATTTATAATAAAATATTGTTCAAAAACTATTTATTCGCTGTTATTATTATTAATTTTTTTTTTTTTTTTTTTTTTCATTTAGAGATCATTACAATATAATAATCTAACCATTTTATTAAAACACACGGGAAGTCATATTAGGACAATGGAACACAATTTGGGGAAGACATTATTATACAAACTTCATAATTCTACTTTGAAATTTTTGACATGGAAAACATTTCTTATTTTCTTTTTGTTTTATCATTTTCTTTGTCGAGTGATGGAAGCCCCTATTGACACACCTCGGAAAAAACGAAACGTGTCGGAGGTATAGACCCGGTGCAAATAATCGAAGCCAACCGTCGTTATAATATATAATCGATTTGTACCGTTTTCCGCCTGACTGCACTCGTGCACATTACTGATGTACACTTAATATCGCCTAATCACTATCACCCCAACATCAGTAAGTACAGTAGATAACAGCAAATCCCATAATAATATCACTGTGTAATGCAATCTTACACGGTAAAACTAATAACAATTAACTAATGATCTCACTCTAGGCAAGAGGCATGTTATTCATTTCAAATATTGCTTTAAATTAGTCAAATTATTTACACTTTAAATTTTATTTAAACTGATAATTTTTAATCTGCACTTTCTGTAAATAATATAAATGTGTAAGCCGAGTAGCGTATTAAAGAGCTACAGTTCTCTCACAGGGGTTTTTTTTTTTTATTTTGTCCATGGAATCTATCATATCTATCGTTGAGTTGAAAAGTGTGTCCTCTTGAATCGAATATATTTTACGCACTAATATCAGATACACTCGCGGATCGTGCAGACACCATCATACACGCGTGTAGTCAGATGGAAAACGTTACAGTTTATGAGAATACGCGTCCGTAATATAAATTATTAAGTTTTTGCGACAAATGACGATTTAAAAGCAACGTATGATATTATCAAAAGAAGAACAAATTGTGTATAGAATTTATTTTGAAATCAACATGATTTTTTTTTTTTTTTTTTTATTATAACACATAATATCTATATAATATAATATCAAAAGGAAAAAAAAACGACCGAACATAATATTATTCTCAATATGAGCAGTTTATTCGCGAACACGCCGTAAAAAGATATTCCGTCAAAAACCGTGTATTGTAATATTTTAATTTTTTTACTTATATACATTGTTTGTATTTAAATATCGATTTTACATAATATTTTTAAACATTTTTTTTTTTTTTTTTAAGAATATTTCTTATAACCGAGTCCTATATCATATTATAGTAAATATTATATTGCCTGATTGTCTATAAGCTTAAGATTGTGCTTAAGATTTAATATAATAATTTTTAAATTTCCAGTAACATTTCTTTTTGCTCTGGTAGTAACGGTTAAAAATCAAAAAACGTAATGAAAATTAGGTACATAATAATTAATATTGCTCTTTGATCTCGAAATATGAACGTAATATTATAGTATAATAATTGTCTGCTATATCGTGAATACCAGAATGTGTCGTTGTGTACCACCATTAAAGATAAAAAAAAAAGAATTATCCGATTTTGAGTACCTATAAAGGTAGGTACATCCAACGACATCTGATAGTTATACTCATAAATAAGATTTTGTTTTACCGTTTACAAGTACATAAGTACAACTGCTTAGCTTTTTTTTGTTTTGTTTGTTTTTCTTTTTTTTAAAAAAACCACCGTTGTCGATATAAAATATTTAAAACAATCACTCAGTGTTGTAGTGATGACAAAAAAAAAAAAAAAATAAATAAATAAAACATTAGATAAGTAAATATTTATATTATTATATATACTTAGAACTTGTATATATTGTTGAGCGAAACTTATCCGGTAACTTTAGTAATCCATACACCGGAAGTAATTTTCCTGTAGTATATTGTTTATGCGGGGGTTGGAAGCCATGTAATTAGTTTGTGGGTTTCGTGCCATCGGACGTAGCACGGGCTCAGAAGAGCAGGAACGACACGCGGGTGCGACGGCCGTCCCCTTTGCTCCTCCGCCCCATTCCGAACTGTCACATGGATCCATCCGAGCCTGATCCTCCACTCATTTTGCCACCCTCGCCACCGGATCCGGCACCGCTGCCGTCTTCGCCGCGATCTCCGAAGCCGCCACTTCGAGTGGACAGCCCTTGGAAGTCGAGGTTATACTAGAAAAAAATAAAAATTAGTATCAAATAAAAACATAATATTAAATAAATTCAAAACGATACAGCCTCGTTCGGGTATAAAGTAGATAACAACGCAATGAAAAATTATTTATGAGACGAAACAAGTTTTATGCGTGAAAACGAACAATTTAAATTATTCCCTTTAAAAGGTTTGCACGCCCAACTTTTAATTGCTTTTTTTAACAGTAGAAATTGGATAACCAACTACTAAAACGTGAACAACGAAAATGTCGGGTCGACCACTGAATAAAACAAAATAATATGGTTTTGTAAAAAAAAGTAGGCAATAAAAAATTATGTTGTTTAAACTTACTTTAGTAGCGCAGACGAAACAAGTCGTGACTACTTTCGATATAACGTTCATTAATGTTTTGGTTTCATTGATAACGCTATCGACTTTTGAAAATGTCGCAGATTTGCCAACGGTTGGCATTTTTACTGTAAACTGCAGCTGTTGCACGTAAGTCGGAACTTGGTCCAATTGTTCCAAAAGTTCCTTTTTGTTAGCACCCATAGGCACCTAAAATTAAACCAAAAAAAATTAATTAATTAATTTAAAAATGCATTGAAGTAAATGAACTTGGCAGGGAAAAGTGGTATTATTTTTTTTAAGTTTACATGACAAGAGATTTTTTTTCTGAAAATGTTGCAATTCACCCATTATTCATTACACTGATTTTTTCAGGGCTGTAAATACGTAAATATGTACATAATTATATTTTATGTCTAGAAAATTATCAAAATTAGCGCAATGCGTTAAACATACGTTAAATACTCAAAACTAATTTATAGTTTTGAATGTATTTTTGTATATGTGAACAAACAAACTAGGTGCCCTTTTTGAAATAATTAAATGAGCTATATGGTCACGATTTGACAGGTACCTGATACGAAAACTGTCTGACTAATTTGTAAAGTCTATTGGCCTCCTCGGCCAAGTATTCCGCTTGCGTGAATAAATCTTGAGTCGTCCTCAGTGACGATCCACCGTCGCCTTTGGTAAACTCGTACATACTCAACGCCATTCCGGACATATTTTTCGCCCTTCTTACGATATCGTTGTCTTCGTGTGCCTTGGCCGCGTTTCCCCGTTCGTCCACGCTAGCACCTTCCTCGTTGGCCACCTCGTCTTCTTCTCCGGCACCCCATCGGTCCGCCTCCGCTTCTACTTCGCTCGACGCTAATTTCATTTCTAGACCGGCTTTGGCGATTTGATCTTGTTCCTAGAGGAAAAATAAATAAAACAAAATCGTAGTAAAATAAATGATTTTATTTTTCACTCGTCAAGATATGATTACCGATAGATCTAATCTGACTGACTTCAGTGGTTTCGTCGTCGTACCGTGTTTCTGTATGAATATAACAGTAATTCAAAAACGTCAAAAAAATTAACAAAACAATAAACAACAATTAGATATTGAAATATATATTAAAAAGACATTTGTTGACTTACTCCTGGCCTGGGGAGCGACATGTACGTTTGTTTTTCTGGTACTTGTTTTTCCATAATTTCCTTGCATACTGTAGACACGTCCTGAGTAAGGGCTTGCCACATGTCAGCAAATACTAAAATAGAAAACACACGTTAATAAACGACATTGTTATCAAACGATGAAAAAATATTGACTGACCTTCTAGATTTTCTTTGATGATTTTCGAACATGGATAGCGAGCCAACGCTTGAGCGGCAGTAACGATTTGGGGCGCGTACACTCGTAAATTTACTTCGGCGTGTTTCGCAGAGACTTGAAGTGCTTCCATCGTGGCTATGTGCCTCAGTACTTTACAAATCTAATCGATATTATTCGCAAATTTCAATATAAATTATTTTTGGACCAAATGACAAATAGGAGGTTCGTATACGTACTTCTCCGATTTGGTCGACGACTTCTACGAATTGATCTCCGTATTTGTTAAGACCGTCGATGTCTCCGTCGGAAGACGTGGTCTGTATACACGTGACTAGATCGTAACCCGTTCGAATTATTAAAGGTAGGTCGTGTGATTGTTCTTTGCACGTCGCGATCAACTGGACTCTGAGTTCTTTGGTAGCGTCCAGACACTGGTTGACAGCGACTTCCAGTGATTTCGTGGGTGAGTATTCGTCGCACTGTTCCTATACGGAAACGTCCAAATATATTATTATAATTGCATATTATTCACTTGTTGCAGAATCGCGATAATGGAGTTTTAAAGAGCAGTTTCAAATTACAATTAGGATAGTGCAGGTTTATACATCGCAGTATTATCGATTTGAAACACAAATATTATATACGGACGTAATCCTATTATGATGGAATTATAATTATTATTCATGGAAAAAATGTTAATCCGATTATGCGATAAAATAAAAACGAATGAACTACAAGGGATCATACATAACGTCATAATGTATATATTATACTCCACAACATAATATTATTGTTACTGTTTACCGTATACTTAATCACGCGAAACATTGTGCATTATATAATATGCAGAAAACTGAATTATGTACAAAGATTATAAAAAAGTTAAGTTTTGTTTTCTTTTAGTAAAATAATGGTCATATTATTTAAAAGTAAAATGGAAATGTTTCACAAAGAAATTATTTATGTTTAGTACACAGTTTAGGTGTATAATAAATTTTTTTTCTTCGAAACGTTATCGTTCGAAAACTCACGTTAGCAAGACTAATTTATATTTGCTTATCTAAATACAAATTATAAAAAGTTACGTTATAAACTTTATCCAAACAATATTATATTAATTTACAATATAATTGATATGAACAAAATGGAAGACATCATATTGTAATATAAACCTTCTATTTCGGTTCATTATTCTATCGTAAAATACAATACTATTCCCAATTTAACGACGTGGTCATACCGAAAACTCCGACTGTCATTTATCATATCCTTGACAGTATAGATACCTACGTAACGTAGGATGGTACCACATTAAACATTTGTTGGAAGACTTTATCTTAATCATGAAATACAATTTAAAAAAAAATCATTCGAAAACCTGGATTAATAGCTGCATTTTTTATCACGTCTACGGTGTTATAAAATAAGTGCATAGTCAAGTAAAATATGATTATCATGATGGTATAATAATGTATTATAATTATACTAAGTAGGTATAATAGAAACGTCGATACAATGGAAATTAAAAGATTCGCCATACTGTGGCTGCTGCGGGTAACTCCATACCATGAGACACATTGTTGAAAAATGTTCCGGAAAAGGATTTGTAGTGGGAGACGTAAATGTACTGCGCAAGGGCGATGTTAGGCATTTGATTGGCTGTGTGACCCCGGAATCCGAGTTTAAATATTGTTTTATATTTTATCAATATTTCAATATTTGTGTGTGCGCGTGTGTTATGTTTTAATTTTTAATTTCAATTTATCGACAATTGCTATTTGTGGTTTTTATACTAATATGTTAAGTATGTGCCCTCCCCCCCCATACACAGAAACATGTCATTACATTTTTGTTACTATTTAAATGTAGGCAGGTTTAATAATACAGGAATTATAATATGTAAATAAATAATATTTAAATAATCGGTTTAATTACAATAATTTGTAGTAGGTACATATTTGTGTAGCATAATGGTGTTGTATATATTTTTATACATACAGATACATAATTCAAATTATATTATTATTTATTTTTGCGTATCTTAACAAGTATGTATGAACATCACCAAAGTAAAATTAAGGTTATCAATTAAAAAAAAAAAAAAAAAATTAAAAAATTCCGTTTTATTAAATTAAATGTAATTAACGGTGCTACTGAAATTAATTTTTATTTAATTTTAACAGCGTATATTATTTATACAAATAAATTTATACGAAATTAAATTTATATTGTTAATGATTTTATCCGTACGTTTTGAGTTGCTTTTGTTTCGATAATTACCTATACCTACTAAATCTATGTGTTCACATTTCATCGATTTTTAATTTAATTGTGTATTTTTTTACGAAGTTTAGATATAAAATTTAAAAAAAAATGAATTATTAAGAATACAACGGAATGAAACGTAGGTACCAACACTACCATCCAAATAATATATATATAAACAAATTACGAATTATACGGACCTACTATACGAACGAATAAAAATGCACACATTTGTAAACCGTGCGATTGGCATGTAGCAAAACAAATTGAAACGGGTATTTTATTATTTTTTTTTTCTTTGTAAAAATCGCATTCAATCAATAATGATAATATTTCGTATGTATAGATACTTTAGCGTATACGCAGACAGAGATAAATTTTATATTCAAGAAAAAATATGTATACATATTTGTATACGTATAAAATATATAGTGGCTAGAGTACCTAGGAATAATACTATTTATTATTGTGCATGCATATGTATACATATACAAACAATAATGTCTTATCCGGTTCAATCATTGCTGTTTTAGATTCTGACCGTAGCGAGCAACGTATTGATTTTGCTATAGTTTGTGTTATTTTTATTCAACTATCTTTTTTTTCTCTGTGTGTGTATACAACTTTTCTGCCGGAAATCGTGTCCCAATAAAAAAAAAAACGACAGGAGAGCTCTTTTGTGAAATTTTAGATCTGGTTAATGCGTTTAGGAGGTCATTCTTTTTGATTTTTCAAACAGTTTTCATAACAATCGGGAAAACTCGAGAAAAAACGGAGAAAAACAGAAAACTTTACGCATTAACGGTTTCTGAGGTTTCAGTTTTATTTTTTTTTTGATTTTATCGTAGTAATTCATTTAGAAATAATATTGTGATGACATGAAACTTTCACAGAAAAGTAAGTTATATTAGGTTTTTTTTTGTGGTAAAATATTTTGAAATTTATGTGCTGTGTTATTTACAGGCATTAGACGTTTTTGAGTTTTTTTGGTTTTTATTTGGATCAAAATTGTTTGGCCAAACAAAAATGTTAGAAAAGGTTCATTTTCAAATTGACGAAAATCTTAAAAATTACGGTATCTCAAAACACGTTTAACCAAACTTCGTATAGAATTGTATTTCGTCAACAATGATTTATCGTTATGTTCAAATATAAATTAAATAACTTAATGTATCTTTATTCCCGATTTCCCACCTGCAACAGTATTCGGGAGTTGGCTTATGAGTGGTCCGTATTAAGTTTTATTTTTTATTATTAAAAAAAAAAAAAAAAAAAATTGTTTGATAATTAAAATGTTTCTACTGAATAAAGAAATGAGATATACAGGGTGTAACTGTATTATTTGATATTTTTACTTGTAACTACAATGTAAAAATGTCAAATAGTCCTGTTACACCTTGTATAGATTTGTATTTATTGATAGCGGGATTATAGTAAATTTATACTATGTATTGCACGATTTACCTATCTGAATTCTACAATAATTCTACATTGAATTTCATAGTAGAAATTTCGTTAAGTACTCGTAAATATTCGTAATCGAATCTGATACTGATAGTTGACGTTTGTAATATGTTTAAGTATTAAAAGCCTTTCTTCATCAATCATATGTAATCTTAAAAGACTATATACTGTTTCATTTGATTATTATTTCAGTTGGGCGTTTTGGTTTTTATTAACATTATAGTGCCGAAATCGGCAAAAGATGAAGTAAAACCCAAGTGATCCACGGACAACGTGCAGTACAGGCATTTTTCGATTCTGAGCGATGCGGTTTTTATTTTTTTAAATCCACATTTATTTTGTTTTTCTGTCAATAAATCACTTTTCTACTAGAAATTTTATTTCGATAATTAACTTTATGGGTGTTTTTTGGTATCAAATTTTGTCTAGTTGAAGCATTTGGGAAGTCATTTAAATGTTTTATTTGTTAAACATTTTAAACGTATTTTAAATCATACAATTATATATTATTCATCGTAAAAATTGAACTAAATTTAGTTTTAGTATTTATTATAGTAGGTAATTAGAATAGTATTTATTTATCATTTAATATTTAAAATTTCCGTAATTTAGGCTAAAACAGGGAAAAACAGTTATACTATTGATAATGGCTCACTCAGGAGGGCGTGGCTGAGGATGATTCATTGACCATTGACCGTGTTAAACATAAAAAAAAAAGTATTATATTAAAATGTTTAGAATTTAAAAATTATCTACATCTGTTTATTGTATAATATACAAAACCAAGATCGATTATTATCATTTTATACAAATTACAATATTATTCCGGTCTGGATGAAACGCTGCAGTCCGCTGTGAACTTTTTGTTTCAAAATTCAACCCCTAAAGAATTACTGACACAAAGTTTTTGGTATACATTTGGAACGGAAATTTAATTTTTGATTTACGTGGGTTACCTTGGTGACATGCGTGAAAAAAAAACCAGTTATTATTATTTAATTTCGTTGGCTCGGTCAAACAAGATAAATTACCGAGCAACAACTATTAATTGCGATAGGTAGTAAAGGTAAACCCAGGTAATTAAACTAGTTACTAAAAAAATAATAATTATTGCACGTTTGCACTACTTATTCAACCAAATACAAGGAACTGTACTACATAATTATTGTGTATTTCGCAACATTTTAATAAAGTCAGAGTCAAGTTTAACATTCCTCCCTTCCCTTGAAAAGTCCTTAATACGTCATTGGCCATTGCCATTGTACAGTAATTTACTTGTAGTAAATGCTATTTTGGCTGAAATATTTCCCTTAAAAAAAAAAAAACTGTTTTTTGATGGATACTGTATAGGAGGGGTGTTAAAACGGTGATGAACGTTTCCACAAATAAGCGTTTCGAAAATGCGTTTTTATACGCCTCTAAACGGAAATCGTAATTAGGTATGCATTGTATACCGAAATGATAGTCGTATACTATGCAACTATCAATATGGTTTCAAGAAATGTTAGAAATTTAAAGTGGCCTGAATAATTGCCCGGTAAGAATTTTCGAGCCACTCCATTTGACCGAGTTCTGTCTACCGACATGCATACATGGGTAATGAAAATAGGCTAACTGTATAATACATACATGGTATATATATACACACACCGATTTGTTATTCTAATATCGGACGCAATATTCGTCGGGGGGGGGGGATTTTGTTTTGCGTTTTTATTTCGTATATTATATTATAGTATCATGATTAATGAATCCGAAATACACCGCCGGTTTAATCGTTTACAAATGTTTAACAGCAAAAAAATGATTGATTATTATTATTATTATTTATTATTTATTATAGTCTGTATATTGCATTGTATTTTGTATATTATTATTATTATTATTATATCCACGCGCCTTTGCCGGCCTTTGCGTCAATACACACCGCGCATGGTGTGCGCCTGCAATAGACGCAGCATAGCAAAGTACAAACTTGTTGCCCATCTCCCGCATTGAACGCAAACATTTTAGCACTTCGGAACGCCACTCGACCCTCTCGCGATTTAACCTACGCGATTACCACCTATATACTATCGTATTTCATACACGGCGTATAATATATAATATAATACCAATATAATAATGGTATGCAACGAATAGTTATGGGACACGGTTCAAATTTATCACGAAAATTCGTAAGATATTTAACTCGTATGGGTATTATTAATTATCATTGTGATATTGGGATTTATTCGACCTCCGAGACCAATAATCCATAATCGTCCAGCTTGGACCGCCCCTTAAAACGTCCTTTTCGACTACATCTTCTTGCTTCATTCTCGGTCTTTCCGACGGTATTTACACCTTTTTTGATGAACTCTAATATGTTCGTATCGCCACGCATTTGTTTCTAGCGCTGCTCTGCGGTTTTTCCATCGTCTCCGCTTTTCAACTATATGCTATATAAGGTTATATTGGGTAATTCAATTTATATGTATACAAACAACGAGAAATCATTGTAATTAAAAAACAAACAAACAAACTTGTGTACTTCGGTGGGCCACTGTTATAGGTGAGAAATTCGGAAGGTAAAGGGGAAATTTAATGTATATCTACAGTACGCAAAGATAAATTCATTTCTAATTAAAAACGATTCTGAGCGGAGTTCAGTTATACATGTTTTGAAAGGTCATAATATTTACGATTTAAAAATAATACATTTTGTAAAATTTCCCGTTTTTCCGGTTTTTTCCATTTATTATGAAAATTCCTGGGAAAATCAAAAATGGATCACCTTTTAAGGACTATAACCTAAGCCAGTCTTTCCTAAACGGAGAGGCGTGAACTTATTGGTGAGGAGTTGAAAGCAGTCTTCCATAAAGTAAAATTTGTATTTCATGATGTAAGGAAAAAATTAAAAATTAATAATGACCGGTGATTGGGTATCGATAATGATTACGAGCAAAGCCGTATTTAAGTAGAGACAACTGAGGAAAGTTGTCTGGATAGCTTTAATTTTTGATGAGATTTATTTGCTTACCATGTTGTTATAAGAGGGGGGGGGCAAGAGAATTAGTATCAACCCAATCAAATTTCCTTTCAGAAAAAGTGCTATATTTAAAAATCAGAGCAACATTTTTGATAGAAAAGTTGTTCACAGAAAAAAAATCATAGTAAAACCAATACGTTTAAATCTAAAACGATTTCAATTTTATTATAGATATAGATTTTTATATTGCAGATTTTTTAAATTTTGAGCGCAGTGAGGTTTAATCTTATAGTAAAACTAACATACCCTACACTCGGAATCTAAAGTACTTACGAATATATAATGGCATAAAATATATACATTTAATTTCAGAACAACTTTCCTAATCAAATTGTATAAAATCTTTATGCTAAGTAAACATATGTTTGTTAGAAACTTTCGTTCGAAAACCCAAAGATTATAAAATAAAAAATAAAATAAAACATGCAGATAACATGATAACGAACTAAAAAGAAAACCACACGATATTTTTAAAAATACAAAATTAAACTTTGTGATAAAACCAGTAATATTTCTAAGAATAATTTTAGTACAGAATACAGATTAAATGATAATGGAAAATATTATTTACAAGTTCTTATTATTTTTTTATTATCGGCATAACTAAATCAAAATGCAGTACTTACATCATTATCTAAATTATTTGTTAACATGTGGTTACTGGTTAGGTGTTTGGTTACTTAGCGTAAGTAATAAGGGACGTTCCTCCTACGCGTATATTTCCCACATCTGACGTAACTATAATTACGTCCTACTTTTGGGTTTCCTTGAATTTCTATATAATGATCTCCGTAATCGAAATATACAGGAACGAGAAAAGAAAAAAACAAATGGACATACTTTGCACGATGGGTGGGCCACTGTTAAGGTGAAAAGTTGGGAAGGTAGAAGGGAAATTGAGTGTATATCTGTACACATGAATTAACCATTGCCAACGAAAAACGATTCTGAGTGGAGTTCAGTTATACATGTTTTGAAAGGCCGTAATATTTACGATTTGAAAATAATATATTTCGTTCGTTTTCCCATTTTTTCTACCGTTTTTTTCTATTTATTATGAAAACTCCTAAAAAATTTAAAAATAACATTCTTAAAGTACCATTGCTCCCGTCCAATTTTTTTTCAGAAAAAGTGCTACACTTAAAAACTGGAGCAAAATTTCTGGTAAAATTGTTGTCCACAGAAAAAAATATATATATGAATAAAATATAAATAAATATAATTTTAAACCAATACATTCCTCGTTCCGCTCAGAATTTAAAATACTGTTTGCACTCACTGCATCTCAATTTTAGTTGGTCGCAAGAAAATATTAACAGTTATTTTAAGTAATATACTGATATACTTAAAAAAATAAAAATAATGATAATAAAACTTTTATAGAACAAAATATCCTGCTAAAGTGTCTGTTTACTTTAATATGATAATTGGCCTAAAAAAAAAAAAAAATAAAAAAAAATATGTTTTAGATTCTGAGCGTAGTAAGAGATCTATTGGTTTCACTATTATGTGTGTATTATTTTTTCTATTTATAAACAACTTTTCGACCAGAAATCTTGTTCCGATCGAAAACTGACAGGAGACTTTTTGAAATCCGGATCTGATTGGAACACTAAAAAGTCATCATTTTATTTTCAAAGAGGTTTTCAAAATAATTGTGGAAAATCAAAAATTAAATTTAGGAAAAACGGATAAATATTTACGACGCATCGTGGCGTAATCGAATTTTATTTATACAAATTATGTTTTCTATCGAAAATCTTGCTTAAATCAAAAAATTACAAGAGATCTTTAATCTAGTTGGTGAATAAGTTGGTGAGTTTTTTTTTTTTTTTGAAGGGGTTTTCATAATAATTGAGAAAAACTAGAAAAAGACATAAAATGAAAACTGACAAATTTACGACATATATGATTTTATTATTTAAAATTTGTACGATTTATTTTTTCTAGAAATAAATCTTTGATTGAAAAACAACAACAGACCTTTTTTGATGGATTTTGGATTTTGAATGAGTATGTCGTTTTTTGATTTTTCGTTTAAATATCTTAATATTCGAACAAAACCAAAAACAAATGGTAGAAAGAACGGGAAAGTTTACAGAAATAATGGTTTCATTATTTTCAATTTTTTTTTTTTTTTTTGTTGCGATTCAGTTAAATATATTTTAGACACTTGGAATTTTGATAAAAAAAAAAATTATATTGGCCTTTTTTAGACGTGGTAAAATTTTCAAATTATATTATGAAAATATTTTCATGCTATTTGTAGTTATTTTACATTTCTAAAGAAGAGATTCATTAGAAGTTGTACTTAGTGATAAAAATAAAAGTAGAACATAACGTAATAGTTTAATTATAGAAGAGTTTTAAATCTAAATTTTGACGAAAATCGTAAAAATTACGGCATTTCAAAACATGTACTTATAACCGAACTTCGCTCAGAATTGTTTTTCATTAGCAATAATGTATTGTTGCTTGTAGATATAAATAGAATAACTGTAAGTTTCCTATCTTTCTAACTTCCTACCTATAACATTGGCATATCCATCAGCAATGTCAAATCAATAAATATTTCTATATATATATATATTATATTTGAATTAAAAATCTATTTCTATCATATAGAAACATCTCATTGCACAGAGGAACGTCTTTGTACAGATTCAATGAGAGAAAGAGTAATTTCAAATTAGAAAAACACGAAGTCCCAAGCATATTAAGTATATTGATTCGGAAATTAAATATAGGTAATAGGTATAGTATACTTCCCCTTCTACACGTTATCCAGTATATAGAATGTTCCACGGTGGTTTATGAAATTCAGAATATTGATTTTCAAAACGCGTATAAAAACGAATCAATTTTTCAAATTTTGGAATTAAACATTTTTTTGTATACGTTGTAGGCAAATTATGTACAGAAAAAGTTTTTATAGCATTTTATTTTGTATCTATTCCAAATCGTAAATTAGCCACTCTCAGCTACCTAGTAAATCAATTGTATTTAATATTATTATATAAAGTACGTAGGTATATAGGTATTTCACTCGGTGCTCTAGTTTATGTGAAATATTATTATTTATACAGAAGTTTATACTTCCTATCATGTGGAATATTATTTACAATTTTACACAAAGTCGTATTTCGTGTTGACGTGACACTCAAAGTGATTCGAAAAGTGTTCGTTAGCGTGTTTTACATCATTGTCTATTTGAAACACAATATACGATGTTTAATTTCGCAGTATTTCGTAGAATGCGTAGGTATTTATTATAATAATATTATCATTTTGAGTTTCTTGTGTTTAACAAGTTAGGAATTATACTTAAATGAAACTTTCAAACATACCTAGTCACACTCGGTCATGTAAACGAATGCTATAACTTGATATTTATCTACCGAAATGACGTTAATAAATACCAAAAATATATCTAAAGCATTGTCCAAATACCAGTGCGTAGTTACTAATCATTTTTTTATTATTATACGTGTAAAATTTACATGTTTAACTCAAAGTTAAAAATATATTCTTACCAGTCTGGCTCCGGCTCGGATCAACTGATCCAAATGAGTTTTGACACGATCGCACAGTGTCAATATATTTTCCCGGTGTTCGTGTCTGGTGTATGCGCTGTCCGTGAAGTCTTGCGTGCGTTCCATGATCACGTCCATGGTACGCAAAAGCGTTTCCTTTTCGCCCAGGACAAGTGTCAGCCTGCGGACATAAAGGCACGCGATATTGTTAAATACGGCAGCGGAGGCGGCGGCCGAGGCGATAGTCGTACTTATTCGTAAGCAGGACGAGGGATTTACAATCGGGGCGAGGACAGACAAATCGCTTTTTAATGAGCCCCGCGTAACTATACGCGTGCACGACACTTCGAAACGATAGTTTGACAGTTTTTCTTCAATATACATATAATATGTAAGCGGTAGATTTTTACATTTTTGAATAATAATAAAAAAATTCAACGGCTAAAGAACATCGAGTCGAGGAGAAATGGTTTACGAAAGACAAATGAGTTGGAAATCGAATTATATATAAAGAGAGAAAGAGAAAGTATACAAGTAAAGTCGTCACATCCACCCCGCCAACATTAATATGCGCTTTTAGTCGAAAAGCACAAAGTCAAATTTAAACGCGTACCGAATTTATGCATAATACATTTTTTTTTTTTTATTTTTTATGCTTACGAACTGATGAGCGACATAAAATCGTACGCATTATATACTGATCGTGAAGCTCATCGTTTATAACGATTGTATAATAGTATACCGTTTTGATGTCGCTATAAAGTCAAACATTATCAACGTTAATTTATTCTCGTATACGTGTACAAATGCGTATTTTATTTTTACTCGAGGATTATATGCTGAAATATATATAATTGTATAAGTACCTAGCGAACACCGACTCGGAAAGTTAGCCCGGTTTTAAATTTTCCGAGTGAGTATAATACGGTGACTCGGTGCGCCATATAAGATTATCCCGGCCACGGCGTCGGACGAAATTAGAGGATTAGGAACCTTGAAATAAGGATCAGAAACTTCGCTAGTTGTTTTAGTGCAATTCCGTTAGTTATAACGGTTATGCTATGTAATGTATGTTCCCAATTGCTAATTTAATTTAAACTGCAATAAAAAAAAAAAAATAATAATAAAAATGTAAAAAAAGCCACGGAAGATGCTACCTATACTGGTATAACAATTTCATTTTTAGTGTTATTGTAATAGAGTTCTTTATAAATTAAATATTATAAAACATTAAGTGCGCATGGGCAATACGTTTTATATGAATACATAAAATAGTGAGGAAATTATACAAAGACATTTCATTTTGCAACGATAATGGCTGTTATTTTTCTCAGGAAACACTTGGAAGCAGAAAATTACTTAACAAGTTTCGTCCGGTGGCTTTTTAATTCGATATAATAAGAAAATGGTTACCAGAATATTGTTACATAAATAATAAATAATTTTACTCTCGAAATTCTCAGTTCAAGAGTGTATTGAAAACCGAGAGAACCCGAGCAAAAAATAAAGAGACAAGATTCAAACGAACACGTTAATTTTAAGCTTTTTATTTCGAAATGCGAATAGCTTGTGCCTTGTATTATAATATCAAAAAAAAAAAATAAATAAAAAAATAAAATAAAGTACACCTATATCAAAAAAAAAAAAAAAAACCCGAAACCAATTGAATAACGTTTAAAAATGTTCGTATATTTATACACCCAATATTGAACCTTGTTTTAAATACGAATTTGTAATTTATTACACATTTAAATGTACAAAAACAACAAAACTAAATTCATGACGTTATCTTTGTATACCCGTCATACATTTCGGCGGTATGCTATTAGAATATTTAAAATTAAATTTTTAAATTTAAACGGTTTGGATTGTTTCGGTTAGGTTTTTTTTTTTGTATATAATATATATATATATATATATTTTCTTTTCGACCTTTCGTTGAAACCGGAATTTCAGACAGAAAATAAACCGCCGAATACTGGGCAACGATAACTGCGTTGCGGTAGGTAGACAGGAGATGTTGACTACGCGATGTTAACGGACCAACGGGCTATAATATCATGTGTGTGTACACCGTACGCATAAAATTGTACATCTAAACGACGACGACGACGACGGCAACTTCTGTGTAAGTCTAAATGCGTGTTAAAAAAGAAAAACGTATATATACCTCGTCATGTCGACGAACGAGTCCAGGACGTTGAGCGCGTGGCCAAGTGTGTCGCCGCCGTCTTGTTCTGATATGTACGGTGTCAGGGCCATGGGCTCGCCGCCACTCTCCTTCACGCCGTCTTTGACCACGTAATGGATCAGGTCCATGGCCCTGCGCATCTGACAGAACACGGTGTCTCGATTTTGGCTGGCCTCCGAGCTGTCTGGGTGCCTCAGACACGCCTGCGACACGCAATAATATTGTTACGGTATAATATACGACTGCGCGCATATCGATATCGGCTGAAAACTGTACAAACGCCCGCCCACCGTTGCCGTACACAAAACGCTTAACGACTGGTAAATGACGACGGTTCCAGTCCGTCTGGGTTAGGTTAGGTTAGGTTAGGTTAGGTTGCCCGGGACGAGTTCCTATATAACACGGTAATATCGGTAGGTAACGGCCGTGACCATCGTCTATAAGTCTCGTATCTTTGATACAGCGCAAACCAAAAAATATAAGGCGTGTTTCGACGGATGACCAAATGTAACGTGATTACTGTATTTTACAAACAAGTCGTTTCGGCTATTTTGGTCAACATTTTTGGTTGTACGTTAATGAAATATCAGAACCGAACATTAAAAACGGTTATGATGTTTAGTTATTAATAACGTGTAACGATATATCCAATACTTTATTCAAATCTACAATAATGGCTAAATTTTTAGCTCATCTCTATGTTTTAAAAACAGTTATATAGTAAAAATAATAAATAAATACTAAGGCTTAAGTATTAAATGCTTAAAAACGTATATGACTATTATAAATTAATATTATTTTTAATAACCATAAACAAATCGTTTTGACAAATTTATAACCATAAACGAAAATCATCATTACCATGTCCGATAACGAACATAACCAGGTTAATCGCCAAAAGACAACTATATAGTAACGTTCTGTGAGAAAATAATTTGTACCGTAAAATATCCTGGATCCATTGTGATAACGAAACGTGGGTCTATAATGTACTATATTATCATTCAGAGGTGATATCCGATAAAAATATCCAGGTGAAAATTATTCAGTTGAAAAACTGTCAAATAGGTCTGTGGTGTGAGAATTGTCAATGTGTTGATTGTTGTTGATGTACTGATCGATCAATTTCCAATGTTCCGACCGGGTGGTTTTAAACCGAAATACGTACGTGAAAATGAAATGTAATAAAATTCAAATATATGTTCGATGTTAACGATTCGCCAAAGTATTAGATAGTGCATTCCAAAGTCAAGATTTGTACTTATTTTGTTCTTTAAAAAAAATGTTAATACTGTGGTAATTGAGTATTAGATAATTCGTTTCGTGAACTTGATGACAGTGAAACACTAGAATATTATACAAGAAAATATATTTTACAGCCGTCGTAGAACACCTATTTTAATTAATTTGTAAAACTTAGTCGTAAAGTAGAGTAGTATACTTATCATGTAATTTATTTTACGGTATATTTTGTACGGGAACATAAGTTATAATTTAAAATATAGCAGGCCTATTTTCCAGCGGATATTTGTATGTCCTAATAATTAGGACCTAGTGGACATTTGTCACTGGAGGGAAAAAGTAGGTAGCCATTACGATACCGGTGCGTATAATATAATATTTGCCAAGCTCAGATTCGTGAAGAAATGCCCCCAGGGAGGGAACGCCTCCGTGGCCTGCTGATTTAAAGGGCCCATTTGTCATAATTTATATAGGTGTACACTCGTATGTATAAAATGTTATTGTTGACAATTTTTATTGTACAAAAATGTATAATATAAAGACGATTTATATAAATTAAACATATATTTCATGATCTGCCCGGGAGGCCCCCCCCACTTGGACCCTTAATCCGACCATGATGTTTGTTCCGTGTAAGTCTAACGAAACTCACCTTGGACGAAGTTAACAACAACATGGTAGACCGCTCGAGTACCTGTCGGGCCGCGGCAATCTGAGATCGCCGCCGTTCGTCTTTCAGGTCGTTTTGCCGTTCACCCGTCAGGTGCGCTAGCTCTACCATTTCAGTGCCAAAGTGACTGAATGCTTTCACAAATTCCGTGAAATTGTTGACACCTTCCAGACGGCCCAGACTTCGTGATACCTGAAATTAAACGTGTCGACTTAATAAATAATTAAAAAGTCATCGCTATTAGAGTATACACGTTGACGTATGTCAACTGTATAGTTGTATTATACTATTTTGACAGTTTGTACATCGTAAGGCACCCTTTAAATTAGAAATCCGACATTGTTGATTCGAATTCCGAATACCGAAACCGAATTTTTAATTTATATTTTCATAGAATTACTTACCTGATATGAATATAATATTCGATATTTCGCTATGGGAGATTGTATACAGCATGTATTTTAGTAGATTCAGAACTAAGAGCCAGATAAAACTGTGAGAATTGTGTTAGACGGATTTTGAAAACGGATTATGTATGATTTTTTACTTTGTGTTGTAATTATTTATATGGAAATCGTTGAACAATTTTCAAAAATAAGCTTAACGTATTTTGCCTTTAATTTATGATAAAGAGAATTAAAATTTAAAAAATAACTAAATCGTATTCTAGTAAAGAACCTAAAGAATCATAGATTCGCACATTTTAAAAACTGAAATACATCAAACGCAATTACTAAAGTTTTTGTCTGGTTTTTCGGTATAAAACGCATAACATATTTGTTTGTAAATATATCATCCCCACATCCCCTTAAATGAATTTCGAACCCTAGTTCAGTGGAAAATTGTTATCATTAAAGTGATCATGTCAAAAATTAGGTACATATTATAAAGTATATACACAAACAAGTCATAAAAAATTATATTTAAACATAGTTTGGCATTTTACATTCAAAATAGGACCGAACCGTCGATTATTATCGATAATAAAATGTATTTAACATAAGCAAACAAAATTAACGAATTGCGAATTTTTAAATTCAATTTTATTATAATCGTAGTTTTTAATTAATTGTTTTCAATTTAATTTTTGATGACTTTTATATTTATTTTTTTAAATCAATATATACGAGTAGAATATGTAAATATATGTTTATAACACGTATACAATAGTATACAAAGTGTCCGTATTTTACAATCTACATGATCGTATAAAGTATTCGTGTTCTGCATTTTAAACGATGGACCGTACAAAGTGACCGTTTACTAATATAATATAGGTAAATGCACCTACCTTACCTTAACTATCTGTTTATTATTTTCAATAGTATATTATGCAATATTGTATTTATTTTTATTCCAACTATTATTTATTTTAAACTTTTGTTGCATTTTTGTAGGATTTTCTTCGAAAATAGAGTCTATTGCGCTGTAGTATTTGTGTCTGTTATAATATAATATATATATGTTACGGCTTATGTTGAAATTTGTATATCAGATTTTTGGTCAGTATTATCACCGATTTTGTAGAATATTATCCGTTTTTGTGCGTTAGTTTTTTTCTGATATTTAAATTTCAAGAGAATATTTGAAATATTTAAAAATCATCGTATATCTTGTTTAAAACTTAAAATAGCGAAAAAAACCAACTTATACACACACACAAACAATGTCTTCATAGCCTTTGAGTTTGATATAATATAACCCAATTAACTGTAATATTAAAAATAGCAACACAAAATCGGTTCTATTATTCCCATCGCGCTAACTATACTGTTTACAATTGGACCTTGGTCGTTAAATATATACAAATAAACCACGAAAAGTTGACATAATTTCATTTTGAACATCAACCGTTAACCGTATATCTTTTTCCGGTACAAATGTACCGGACACTGTGGACACTTTTACGGGCTCCATCTTGACCAAATAAGCTTAAACTGGGAGATTAGATTTTTTTTTAGACGGATTGGTGTAATAACGTTATAGTTGAATTTCAATAATGAGCACCATCGTGTTACGGAAGGAGGGTGTTTTTTTTTTTAACTTTAAACAGTCTTAGGCTCCCAAATTAAGTTAGTAGCGTGCAACGTTCTGTATAGATGATGTAAGTATTAAGGATGTGTCTTTTGAAGTTTTCAACTTTCAAACCCCTATCATTGTTTGTATGTTAATAAAAATCTCGAAAACTACTTTACCTATTTTGATGAAACTATTTTTATTCGATTCCTTCACATTATCGGAAGGTCACAGGATACTTTTTACAGTTTAAAAGATGTAGAAGTAGTAGGCCATGATATAAGGCAAGGGTTAATGGGTTTTTAGTGAATACAAATCATAAATAAATACAAATTTAATTTAATTAAGTATATAGTATATAATATTATAAATAACAGTAAGCGACTGTGGCAACCATAACTATTTTAAATCAATTATAAAAAACAATACAAAAAAAAAAAATGCAATAATGTAACGGCAAAAAGTCGGCTTAGGGGGAAATTCGTTTCTAGTGACGATGATCTACTGCTCACGTGTATTTTTTTTAAATATATTAAATATCACGATTATTCATACTCAGTCGGTTAGGTTTAATTATTATACTATCTATATATATATATAATATAATATCGATTAAAACTAATATTTAAGTCAGTAAAAAAAGAAAATTGCGTTGCAATAGATAATCTCTAAAACATTTAGGTACCTAAATGTATTTTATTCTACAAATTGGTTGGTAGGTTTACATTGATGATAATCAATAAGGGGAACACCTCGGAATGTATACCTATTCGTTATATTATAGGGTAATATTATGCAGGTGGTATACAAATACAATATAGATGGACACGTGACGCATATTCACATAGCAAGGCGAGTAGGTCAGGGGCTCAATAGCAATATATATTTGTTTACGGTTTATTGAAAAACTGGTGCCGGTGTGGAAAGATAAAACGATTTTTCAAGTGTCACTGAATCTGCATGGTCTATTATACGTCGCGTTATAATAGTAAAGCAAATTTGTGTAATAATATTATGTCTGAACATGCCAATGATTATTGAATGAAAAACTGCAACGCCGTTTGAAATTATTATAATATATAATAGGTATCTGGTATCTATACATAGAAAAAAGGATAAAAAAATAAAAATAATGAACTTTCAAGTAAAACTAAAATAATATTATTAAATTTGTTTGAAAAAAATTATTTTAATAATTTATTAAAACTACATAATATAACGTGTTCGTAAAATATTCATCAGATTTTTGCGGCGTAAACAACGTCACGCGTCTCAGTTAATTGACATTTCTCGTATCGCGCTAGTTTTTTTTTACATTTTTAAATTATTAATATTATACCTATACAATATGCATACATTAGTAATATTCATCTTATATTATTACTAATGGATCTTTTTATTTTTGTTATTTTATTTTTTTTTTTTTTGTTTACGAATGAGAGATGCGCAGAAAAAATACTGCTTTAAAATAAACGAAATGGAAAAAAAAATATCACACTTAGTTATAATAGTATTAGATTCCGAGCGTAGTGAGGGAGCTATTGGTTTTACTAATATGTTTATTTTTTTTTCCTCTTTCTTTCTTCTAGTCTGGGGACACGATTTTTCCTAATAAACTAGCTCCAATATTTAAGTATAGCACCTTTTCTCAAAGTTTAAGTTGTCTAAATTGTATTTTTAAGAAGTCATTTTTTTTTTTTTTTTAATTTCGACGCCATTTTTTAAATAAAAACACTTAATTGGGAAAAACGTAGAAAAATATACAATTTCATGATTTTATAATTGTATAAAAACACGAACGAATTTTTCTACCAGAAAAAATAGTTTAATTGAAAAATCACAAGAAACCTTTTTTGTTGCCTTTTGGATTTAATTTCTTATGGAATCATCGCCAAAACTTTTGAGATTTAAAGAAATTTAAATTTTTGGGAGTTTTTTTGTGTAATTCGGTTATAAATACACGTAAAAACTTAAACTTAGTAATAATACTTATACTGGACTTACCTAGACGTCGTAAAATTTTCAAAATAATCGGATGACTTTTTTTTTTATTTTTTTAATAAGCGTTTTGAAATCAAATCGATTTAGATTTAAAATCAATTAAAGTTTATTTAAACGAAAATCGCAAAAAAAAATTACGGCACTTCAAATTATGTATTACTAAGTTGCACTCGGAATCGTCTTTAGTCAAGCATGGTTTATCGTTCCTTATAAATATAAATTAAATAACCTTATGTATCCTACCTTCCCAACTTCTCACCTACAACGGTGGCCGTTCCCATTCACAGTATCAGCTTTTTTATATACTTTAGAACTCATGAACAATAAATATTGAAAACACCATAATATTATAACAATATATCGCATATTTTTATTTTCTGAAAAATAAAGCGGTTACAACAACGACGGAAACGCTTGCTGCAGGATGCACGAATTTTTATACGTTTCATCAGAGAAAGGTTCACAGAACATTACTTCATGTCTGTTTGATTTTTAAAAATTAATTTTGCATTTAAAGACCACAAAGCTCTTAAATTTTTCAAAAACGAAAAAAAAGGATTTTAAAATTAAATTTTACTTTTTTTAATTTTATTATCTGTGAATATGAACGCAGCTTTCCTCTATCGTGCAATTGATTAAAAGCTTTTTATCCCTCTTGAAACACAAAAATAATTTTCGAAAACCGGATTTCTAAAGAAATAAATTTCAATATTCACAGGACAATTAAATAATGGCTCCTAAATGCAGATAGTCGATATTTTAACCTTAAAAACTAAAAAGTAACTTGAAATGAATCCCAAGATTTTATTATGGAATTTGAGATCCCTTACATCAGGGGCGTCTCCAGATCTTTGCGTGGGGGGGGAGTGGCGAAATAATTTAAAAAATTAATATTAATATACCAATATTCAGATATTCATAAAAAAATGATGTCAAATAATATATTCATTATACCTACTTCTGGACCTATGACTATGCCAAATGATAATACAAATCCATTTCTCTTGTAGTAATCGTATATATGGAGGGGGGGGATATAAAAAATTATGAATATGCAACGAATACTCGAGTCAATCTGCTTTAAGAATTCCATTTTAAATGATATTATTGTACGCGTTTGGAAGCCAATTTAATTAGATATTCATTTTGGAGAGCCAATTCAAGGGTGCTGGGTATATACCGGGACACACACGGTAGAGACACCCTGTATTGGTTAGTACGGGCCGTGCGCATGCAAAAAAGAACGATGACCCGCACTCGGACACTAAAACAAAAGAAAAACAAATTATCAAGCAATGTTGGTTGTCGAATCGATATGGTATAATTTAATACCTATGTTTATCATTTATTAAATTACAGTTTTTTTCAGACGTATGTACATTTTGAAAATTCCACAAAAAGAACTAGAAAATGATGTTAAAAGATTTTTTGATTATTATCGCAAACAATTATAGAGTGAAACCCGTGAAAAATTCAATGTTTATATAGTCTACACACACATATACCTCTCGGGTTATAAAATAAAAATGTTAATTATATAGTATTTCCCTAAAGATTATTATTACCTACTGTCGAATTAACTCCTATTATCTGGATTAATGTGTGGTTTTGAAAATAATAGTTTTTATATATTATTATAATAGATGGTGACCGACCCGGTAATTTTACCTTTTACAAAATATATACATATGTGCGTATATATATTGAAGTTTTTTTTTTTTTTATTTTTTTTTTAGCATAATACGGTTAGGTTAGTTTTACGGTTTCTAAAATTTTTTAAGTGCGAGATTAAAAAGCAGAATAAATTCGTATTAAGTACCTGTATATAATACTTAGGTAGATTTATGACGTAGGTATATACCGGCCGCAGGCAGCTTAATTAAAATTTAATTAAATTATAGTACAAATAATCTTCGCGGATTGTCCATATTACAATATAATAATATATTCCGTATTCGAATTAATAATTTCATATTAAAGTAGTATTATAAAATTAAATCAAGCATTTAAAAATTTAATATAAAAAGAATAGTAATAGAAATATGCTTTTATAAAATTCTGATATTTTTGTTCAATTGTTTGGTGTACGTTTCATAAAATAAGGACCTATGTGTATGCCAGAACGAAAACGTCTAGTAAAGTTCAAGGACATGAAAAAATAATAAATATTTTCAGTTTATTTAGCGTTGTTATTGGAGCTATTGGCATTGCGTAGTAATAGTATCATTTATATTTGTTCGATTCTGAGCAGAAGTTACGCAGATTACATTATATACGCGTTTTACAACGGTATGATGTGTTGTTTTATTATTTATAGTTATTTTTTATGAGCCTTTTTAGGGACAGAAAACTTGTTGAAAAAAATAAACGTCCCGCAGGTACTTTAGTAATAATATTTACCATAAACAATAACATTATATTTTTAAAAAATAAAGTTGCGTTTTATAATGTTAAGAAAAAAAAACAAACATATAATTGGAAATGACGAGTAAAAAATTTATTAGGAAACGTACAGCGAATTTTAAAATAATATGTCCAATATTGAGATCAAGCAAGATGTTTTTTGATTTTTACGCTTAGGTAACTAAATAAAATTGATAATATTAAAAATCGATGTTCAATTTTTAAAATAAATTTAAATCTGAGTACCGTTGTGGTGTTAGTGCTCGTTAGAAACACTACTAGTACAGAACATTAGTGTTCATTATTATCGTATTATCAAATTATCTACGTGTATAATTATAATATTTACCTACAATCATAATTAGAAGATGTATTAAAAAAAAAAAAACCATTCGTGAACAGCAGAGCTCCGTCACTAGAGTAGAATTTTATGAAATATTCATTGCTAAACAGTAAATAACTGGATACTATAATTATACAATACTAAAATGTACTACATTTATACTATCATTGTAATAATTCTAAAAAGAGACATGATGAAATTACATCCCAAAAATAATAGGTGTGTAGGTTGAAACACCCGAAAGGCACGTCGCTCTTAATATCGTATATTTACAAAATTTCATCCCATACATTTTCTTTAGACCGTTTTTGTTTTTAGTCATATTTTCTTCTCGCCATTTTGGTGCAAGGACATTTTTGATTTGGCTATTACTTTAATTTGTGCTCATTTTATTTATCCGTGCCAACAACTCATCGATATTAAAAAATAACTTGTAGAATTTTATAATAAATTGCATTAACGAAAAATCGACATTTATGCGCTATGTTTAGTACGCAATATTGTACCTTATTAATTTTATAAAATATGAACATTTCCCCCTCTATATACACGATAACTTATAAATATAAGACCATTGTAAACATTGGAAAAAAAAAAAATCTAGTAGATATAGAACACATTTTTCAAGTGGGCGTGTGACACTCTTGTCTCTCCGCGAAGGACGCCCATGATTGGTATTAAAATTATAAACGAATAAAAAACAGATTTTATAAAGCGGATTGACTTGTTTAATTCAATATACCTCCTTCTATATGTATATATATATACCTATTCACTATATTATTTTCATTCATAATAAATTCTAATTGGCAGTAAAAAAAAAAAAAAAAAAATGGTATACTCTGTTTAAAAATTAATTTTAATTTTATACTGTTATACTTAGTTTAAAAAAAAAAAAACTTTTACCGAGTAAAAATTATTAATGACATCCGAGAGAGATTTTATATTCCTACCTATACCAGACATAATGAAATAATAAAAAAATATACGTATAAATATTTATAGAATATAGCGGTTTTTTAGAGGCCTTTTTCGGTAGAAATTCATCGTGTAATACAGTGTACAGCGACAACCGATATAGTACTATAATGAGGCAAATGAAAGCAAAAATAGAAATATTCCGTACAATTTGTACGAGATTAAACTATTATACGAAATTATTACAAGTTTGTCAGAGCAAAAAAATACGAAAATACGGTAATTTTTTTTTTTTTTGGATAAATAAAAATATTATGTTTCGCGCAAGTTATTTCGATCAAAATTTCTAGTGAAAATGACATAGTACACCAAAATAATAATTCGTAATATTCCGTCGTGAATTTTCACGGTTTTCGCTTTTCGCTACGCGATGGTATCTATATGGACAATTTTTTTTTTCTTTAAGAGGCCTCGTAACAACATTTTGTTTCTCTGTTCCGTCTCGTGAGTAATATAGTTCTGCAACAAAGGCGCATTCCGCATTTCCTTGATTACGACTCTCGTGTGGAGTTTAGTTTAAAGGATCCTGTTTTATGAACTTTACAAAGAAGAGTAGCATGCTATGGCTTCTACGGGTGGTTTTTTTTCTTCGTAATTTTCATTTCTTATTAAGTTGTTAACGATTAAAATTATGAAAAAATTGAAAAACGCATATAATTTTGGTTGAAAAAAAAATTAAAATATTAAACGAATCATTCGTACAAGCCACAGTAAATAGGTACTCATTTTTATAAAATGTTTAGTATTATGTCCTTTTGCTCTAAACTTAACCTCAGTTTCGCAATCGTGGAAGTGCGGAATACATTTGTTGCTACATAGTATATTATGTTACGTGTGAGACAGACAAAGAAAACAAAATATGTTGCAACGAAGCCCCTTAAAACTTTTATTTGACATCGCGAGTCAGCTAAATAACTAAACTATTGCGTATTGATATCGACAATTTAATTCGTTTAGTTTAGAATTTCGGATAGGGAAACCTTTGCACATCTATAGCTTAGCTCTGTCGTTGCCGAAAATACAAATTGATTATTTAACTACGTATATGAATTTAACGTATTTACGTAGTTACATGAATAAACTTTAATTATGTGAAGGACCGAAGGGATATTATCGCGAGTATACTGCAATTATTATTGGTTTTTCGGGCAAAAAATAATCCGATTTCGTCTCTAATCTACAGCCAACAATAGTATGTATATAATAATATTACGTACCTTGTCTTTAACTGAAATCAGTTGCTTCACAACTACTACGTCGGCTAACAATAAAACTCTGGTAACGGAATTCAACAAGCATCGGGCAGCTCTTATAACTGACGCTCGATCGTTGATCGAATCTTCAAACACGGCTTCGCATAGTTTTTCGATGGAAGCACCTGCGGAAATAAAAAAAAAAAAAAATTAAAACCCATTGGAATATTATTACATGTAGGTACTAATCTAATATTGTTTCGATCGAGAAAACTTTCGATTGAACTGCGCAGTCACACACTAAGGAACCTAAACGGACAAACCGAGATACGGCTAAAATACGTATAATTATTATACATGAATCAGAGCTAGTTCATATAGATAAGCCCGCCAGTGTTTATTGTGGTACTTAGAGTTGCACAAGATTGTTATACGCAAATCTCGCATATAATTATAATAGTTATGACTATAATATTAGTTTCGTCCTACGTTCAATCGAATCGCATTGATTTCGTAATTTATATATGCATATTCTAAATAATAATTCCAATATAGGGATTATATATTGTCTATAGCAATAGCTCAAAAATCACTTAAATGTTATGAAGATTTCATCACGCCTGGAAAAAGAAAATATAACTTGTCGATCCAAATTTCAAGTCCCTACGAATATTTTAAATTGAATTACAAAAAAAAAAAATAAAAACAAAAACAAAATTGAAAATCATAGAAGCATTATTTTCGTAAATTTTCTCGTTATTTCTACGTTTTTTGTTTTTGTTTTTTTTTTTTTGATATTACCCAATCAATCAAAAAACGACATTTTTACTCATTAACTAGATTAAAATATTGACAAAAAGGGTTTTTGCCGTTTTTTAAACCTTAGAAAACAAAAGCCGTGCAAATTTAAAATAAAAGAATTCGTGACGCCCTAGAAATTTGTCCGTTTATCCCCAAATTTTCCCAACTTTTTTTATGAGTTTTCCAAATTCTTATGAAAACCGCTTTGAAAATCAAAAAATTGACATTTTTGAAAATAACAGCTAAATAAAATTTCCGTTCAGAAAAAGTGCTACACAAAATGCTAGACATTTTGTATACAGCATAAAAATTAAAATAATAATAATAATACACATCATTGTAAAACCAATACATTTTTCTCTACGTTCCGAATCTAAAATAAGTGTATGTGTGTGTGTGTGTATTCAAAACTGATGTTTTAACAACACACTAAGAACCAATATGCAATTTTTAGTAAAAATATACAACATTAGGTATTCATATATATATATATATGTTTGGTGTATAAAACATTAAAATGATTATTTCTCCAGAAACGTTTAGCAATCGTCAAAAATAATATTGTAATGTATAGGCGTATCTTTGATCGTTCCTACACTTTAACGTTGGTGTTTATTTTTTTTTCTAACACGACTGAACTATAGTTATAGTTTCCGGACAAGGATGATTTATTATTATAATATTATGTAGGCATTATACCTATCCGCGGATTTAACAAAATATAAAAATAAATGAATTAGATTAACGCGATTAATTACTTTTCGCGATGATATACTTGATATATAAAACGTAATTACGTTTTATACGAATTGCTTGAATTGTTTATTTTAATTTCTGAAATAAAAAAAAAAAAAGTACTAAAAGCTTATTTATACTTTTAAGTTTTATAAAACTATAATATAGCTTTTAACGTCTATATAATAAATATAATTTTCATTATACTAAGTAAACGCAATTACTCGTAGAATACTATATATTTTTAGTACTAATGCCTTTAACATTTTAAGAGTTAACCTTTTGTTCCTATTATCGTTGTGCTGAACACTATCATCATAATATAATTTATATAATAAACAGTATATAAGGATAAAACATTTTTCCTGAATTTAAGTCGTATTAGAATATTATGTGACATAAACTTGGTATTTTTTTTGTGTACACAAACTGAACGATTCTATTTCATGCACGTAGCCAAAAATATGTTTTTTTCTTTTCTAAATCACTAATATTTTTAACTTTTTACATATATATATATATATGTATGTATGTAAAAATTTCCGATATTTCTCGTACGCGTAATAGGAATATTATTTTACAATAATATAACTTTATCTTCGATCTTCAAAAATAATACCAGATTGTAATATATATATAAGAATATTTTTAGGTAAACAGTGTGATTTGCAAGTATCACCTTGAAAATAATTTAAAAAAAATAATAACCTCGTTAGTATGGCATTATTTTCGTACCTATAGCTTCATATATTAAGTACATTTACAAGAAAAAAAAAATAATAATAAACGATTCGTTTTTAATTTAAAATGTTACATATTCATTCGCAACACTGATATTCGATTATAGGTACATAATAATTAATGGCAAAACCTTTGACAGACTCATTTAATATATAGGTACAAAATTGTCTATCTATAAAATGTCTATATAGTTATATATTTTACAAAACGATTGATTTAATATCAAATGCCTGTATATGTAAAGTATAACTGTTTAAAATTACAGCATAGAAGATCGCGTTCTAATTATATAAAAAAAAAATTATACTTTGATAAAATACAACATAATATTCTGAATAAACGAAATGTAACCTTAGAGTGATAGAATTACAAAAAATTATATTTATTCGTTTCATTATAATTTTTTTTAATCGGTTGAAAAAGCAAGTATTACGTGAAATATATTATATTATTCCCTACTCGCCAGTAGTTGTTCCTGGCTTATATTTACCTGGCATTTTTTCCCTATTTAAATTATTATGTACACCGAAGGCCACTTCAACTTTTTAAATTCTAATTATTTTTTTCCGCAATAAAATAAAATCCATATTTTACGTATGTAAGTTGTATGTCGTATATGCACGCATAAATTCTGAAATTAGGACACTTGATAATTATTTTATTTAATTATTCAAAACGATATCTATAGATATTATCAAAACTATTATATTATATACACTCAAGCTAATAACATATCAGATATAGAAATGTCATTCGGAACTTTGGAAATGGGTTCACGCGCTGAATGTGGCACATTATTATAACTGATTAGTTATTCAAATGAATAATTGATAAATTAAATATAACTTAAAATCGAATCAAGGGCGTCCGCAGGAGGATGTCGGTGGGGGCCATTCCCCCATCCCGCTATTTTAGTTAATATTAAATATTAATTATTTTATAACTTGCATGGCTTAAGTATTTAAGCCATAATGATTTGTAAGTTGTAAGTCTTATATTTTTGACTTTGCCCACCCTTGGTTTATATATTTTTGCGGGTGCCCTTGAACTGAATATAAAAATACATATGTGTTAGATACTTTAAGCGTTCGAGAAGTTCGATTTTTTTTTTTAAAACTGCCAAAAATCATCTGTGTATTATAATAATATGTTTTAATCCCATATATTTTAAAGAATAATCAAAGAAATCGAAAAAACGGTATTTTTTTAAACCTATATTTTTAACTGATAGGCTATTTTACCAACGAATCTTTCGAAATTTATCCATTCCGTAAATGGACAATTTTACCAAGACGATATTTTAATTCACGGTAGAAAAATGGTTAGGACGACATTATTATTAGTTAATTATTGCAGATTAAAAAAATAAATAAATAAAAATATCGTACTGTTAATAATTAAACACGGAATATAACTTATAAACCATTGTGTAGTCGATATTATTTGATTGATTGATGAAATATGCACAAATAGAATGCGATATTTAAGTTTTAATATACTATATTATATACATGTATAACAATACAGGATAATATAAGTTCATAATAGGCTTATCATGAACCATAGCGTTTTTCTCGAAGGATTTTAAGTGAATTTGATTTCTGCGTTTTTAAATAATTGTAATTATTTTGAATATTTAGTAATGAATTTTATATCAAATTTTAGACGATAAGTTCACTGTCTTACTAGACCGGTCTAAACTGCTATAACTCATAAACGGTAAACCCTATGCACATTAGGGTTATTACCTATCAAAATGAGTAGGAGAATATCCTCCATTTGAATCCGTCTTAAAATCTACATTGCACTACTAATTTTAGGAATAAATCTAAAAAGTTGAACATTTCGTTAAAATAAAATTCAAACGATTCCGTAATTATAAAAACAAACCGAAATATCAAAATACACTTATATAAATCCTTCAAGAAAATCTCCGATGTATGATAATTCGATCACTCTGTATAACGCAATGTGTCCGCCAATGATTTCCATATTACTTTAGGTATACCTGCAACCATTATACCATTATCTACATGTATAATTCAATGAAATATAAAATTGATAACATTACACGCACTCATTGAATATCGCGAGAACATGCGAGAGCAATATTATTTTAGAATGCCTATTACGTTTTCACCGTTATATTACTGTTATTGGATATTATTATGCAGGATAATAACGTCGAAACAAATGGCCTATTCATGTAAAATATTATACAATGTTTACACGTATTATATTCAACACGTTCGGGATAGAAAACACAAATTTCATTTCAAATAATATTGTCGGACAAACATTGAACACGAATTGCACACGTTCTCCGTGTAGCTGCGTACCTATGTGTACGTAAACGTGATTGGTTTTATTATTTCGTCGGGACATCGACAGCGTATATATGTAATGACGCGTGATAATAACAATTACTTAAATAATATTTCAATGAAACGAAAACCATTTATAATATTATACTATTTACAGGAAAGCATTTTAGCAAAATAAAAAAAACGAATTGCATAGATAACAAGAATTTCGGGTGAAATTAGTGTAGAATACCTACACTTTTAAATGTCAGGGAATCGAAATAAACTCGTTTGGAAATAACCGTTAAGGAAACTCAACAAAGAATATAACGCTGCTAAACGAATTTTTTTTTTACCTTAAGTTCAGTCGTATTGAAACCCATGATATCATAGAAAAACAAACTAAATACGGGGTCGTGGTATACGCCCGGTTGCACTTTATACATTTGAGACGCTGTCCACCGGAAAAAAAAAAAAGGCGAATATTCGAGAGAAAATTCCTGCACCAAGTTTCCGTAATACATTTGGAGCGTATAAAATAAAATAAAACCCAAGATATGTTGAAAGAAGTGGGGACATCGAACACCGAAAAGATAAGTTGGACAATACACGTGTAGTGGGTGGAAGAACATAATATAAGTTAAAAGCAGTAAAATGGAACCCGGAGTATAAGTCACCACTAGGACGCCCAAGACAGATGATAGTTGGATGAAATAAGTAGGTATAGGAAGATCTAAACTATGATGGGAATGAAAAATTAGATTTGACAGCTAACTGATAGGAATAGATGGAAAATAGTGGTGTTGTCGGCGAAGGACTCAATGGCTTTTTTTTTTTAAACCGACGAAAAAATAAAATAAAAACATATGAATCCAAATATTATTATAACCTATAAAATACAAATTGTTTTAGAGGTTTAAATATACTCAAAAAATACCACGATTAGGACATTGTTGTAGGTGGGTACTGGGTATAGTTGGGAAGTCATATGTAATATATATATATTATGTATACAAAGTAATTTAGTTATTATACTGTATGTCACGATAAATTATTTTTGATTAAAAAAAAAAAAAACGATTCTGAGTGAAATAGTATAATTAATCGTGTTTTTCCTCGTTATCGAATCAACTAAGAAATCACCTAAACCACTCGAGAAAAAAGACCTATTTAGTGAACTGTTACAAATGTCGATATTATTTCAAATAATGTATTTCAGGCGAAAATTCCTCGTATTTTTAAAGTACGACGTGAAAAAATCGGATCATTTTCACTAACCGTAAAAGTGTTTTCCGAAAGAAAAATAAAACACATTACACGTCTTTGTAATACCAATAGCTCCTTTGTTATGCTCAGAATCTAAAATACGAAGAAAAACTTAGAGCCCGCAGTATTATAATATAGATTGTGTTTATTTTCGATCGGTTAAAATAGGTTGATGAACGGTTATATTATTACCGCGATGCTTAATTGTGTGCACGTAAATTAGATTTATGAGTTTCGAAATGTTAAAAGAAAATTAAACACCTATACCTGCCCAGCTATCGGCATTATAAATTATTTAGATAATAATATCAGAAACACTGTGTATACGCATCCCTGAAATTAAATTATTAAGACCCGCCAGCATAATATTCTGCGCTCGTCGATTCATCGGAGAATATACCTACCAAACGAATAAACGTCACGCCGAACGTAAATATTGTGACGTTTATAGGTACGGAATTTACATTTTAAAGTTTAAACGCCCATAAACAAAAGTTTTAAGTGGATGTATTATTTTTGGGGCCATTACACGTTACTTTTTTTGTAAAGTATTATCCGACAAACAAGCTGCGTAGCATATATTATACAAAACGCATGTCCCTCCTCCACGTGGAGATAAAAGTAAAACGAAAAAATATTCTCCTCTTTAAATTTGGTCTGGGTTTTTGAACCCGCGAATATCGATTTAAATTCCACGTGCCTTGATTTTTTTTCACATGATAATATTGTATGTACCGTCCGGGCCAAAAACGGAGAAAGTATTCGAGTGGCCGGTATCGGTTCGTGTTTTGTGTTAAAATTACAAATTTTAAAATTTCGACCTTTAAACCATTTCATATAACGTAAATGTTATAATAACAGAGATCTCGGACGCAGAGAAAATACTGACAGAATTACAGAAAGTATACACGAGTATATTATAATGAGTAACATCCCTTTAATGAGAACTGTAGTTGACATTTTGGTGCATTTTAAAAAAAAAAATAAAGACCCCCGCAGCCATTTTTTAAACTAAGATATAAATACTACAACATTTTTCGCTTTCGCATTTTAATATTTAAACAGTAAATATACATAACCTATAAAATTTCAAAAAAAATGTAATATATTTATGGTTTTCGACGATATAAATATAAAAAATCGAACTAGTATATATAAGATAAAATATTGTTCAATTTATGTTCCGGTATCTAATAAATACTGACAAGCATACCAACATTAAATTCACTATACTTATACAAATAACTTTGCACTTTGTAATACAGCGCGAATAATACAAGTATAATATAAAAAAATTTCCTCGTTAACATATTAGCAAACATTTTTCAAAAATAACGTTATTATAATAGTATTCAAACTTTTGATGTTTCTTTACGAATACACTAAAAAGTGTATTACGAATAAGTAGGTAGTTATCCGTATTTTTCGAAAATATGAATTTATCGAACCAATATTGTATTGCAAGTTATTACGACAAATAAAATTACAATAAAGCAATCTATATCATCAAAATATATTTATTTACTACAAACGATTTTCTTTTAAGTTTGTACAGATAGACGCCCACATAAAATTTTATATTTTTTTTCTACAGCCGTTACTCATTCTCCATAAGACATACCATATTGAAAACTCAAATTAACATTATTAATATAATATACAGTAAACAAAAATAGAGTGCATTATTAATGAGAAAAAGGATCTTTTTATGCATAATACATATTGACGGCGGATCAATATCCAATATTTACAATTACTTTGCAGTTTGGTTACATAGGTACTAAACAAGGGCGTATCGTCTATAAAAAAAATCTTGCAGGAGGTAGCAAAATTACATGTATTACGCTTATTTTTGCATAATCTGCGTGGATTTATTAATTTCAAAATATAAAAATAACATTTTTATACATGGCGAACACGGAAAAATGAGGGAAACTTGTCCCTCTTTTGTCCTTGCACCGCGTATGATACGCTAAGCCGTTTGTAGTTTATAGAGGAGTGGAACATCAAAACGAAAATGAATAGATCGATGAAATATTTTGAGATACGTATGTTAATGGATGAACCATACAGAGTGAAAAAAAAAACAACCTATAGAAATGAGTATATCATATACTATATAGGATATAATATTTCGTATCTAAAATGAAATAACTTTTTTCGCATTTAATGGTAAAAAGAAATAAAACCTATAAATCTTTTCGAAGATGCACTTTTATTGGTACATTTTTGTAGTTGTATAACACTATTATAGTAAAACTATAACGATTTTTTTTTTCAAGCTTATACAGTGAGACTTTTAACTTTTTCATACAACGAGATAAATACCCGTCTATTAAAAGTTCTGTGTTGTAAAAAGACAAAACTATAATTCTCTAAACACAACGTTATGCAATACAATATAATACAGAAAGAAGTTTTCCAAATTAAAATTATATTGTAAAAGGAAAAAAAAAATGCTTTTTTAAAATGTCAACCTGCGGTTTTTCAGTAGGTAATTAGCTTTCTCATTAAAGTATAACTAATAAAGTGATTCTCCAAATTCTAAAGTGAGGTTTTGTAAAAAGAATAACAGATATATGGAAAGGTTTTTTTTTTTTTGAACGGTGATTTTTGGTGAATATTTTAAACTAAAATACCTATATATGCATAATATTGTGTTAAATAGGGATTTTCGATAACAGAATATTATAATACTATATAATATTATAGTACTTTAAAAATGGCGAATAAATGAATAAACTCGGTGCATTTTATTTAACTTTAAAATATATATTTATAACTATAAAAAGGTTTTATATCAACATGCCCTCTTATTGAAAAGTTTTTATATAATATTCGTGTGCGGCGAATCTTGTTTTCTTTTTTTGTATTCGGTTGACGATGTGTGTATTTCATTATGTATATACAAACACGAAGAAGATATTGCTCTGTCCTGCAGTATGCTATTGACATTTTGAGCGGACAAAATACAGTTGATTAAATTTTAAAAGCTTAAAATGTATGTTTCGCGAAATGTTTAAAAAAAAAAAAAAAAAATGAGTTGATACTGCTGAGGCTAACGAACGTACCACTATTGTAGGTCAGAAGTTAAGAAGCTAGAATACATGGAGTTGTTTAATTCATATCTGTACGCAACGGTCAATCATCGCTAACGAATAACGATTCTGAATCGAAGTTCGATTAAACATGTTTTGATTTTTACGATTTTCGTCAAAATTACCACGTCTATAAAAGCAGAGATAAGATTTCAGGTTACTAAAATTATTTCCAACCTAAAAACAAAAAAAAAAACAAAATAATACATTTTCCCATTCCCCTTTCCTACGTTGTTTTTCGTTTTCCCCCCAATTATAACATCCCCAACGGATAACATTTTATTTTAGGAAAGATGCTATGCATTCGACGATCGGAGCAAGATTTGTGGTAAAAAATTGTTTGTAGACAGAAAAAAAAAAAAAGCTCATATTTAACTCGGAATAAATATAAAAATACAAAATGAGAGAAACGTTTTGAACAAAACGTGTAAAATAACAACCGTCACAATAAATAATTTAGGTAAATAGTATAGCCGGTTTATGGTGATAAAAGTGTAAAAAAACAATGGTTGTGTATATAACACTATATATAATATGGTGATGTAATAGGGCGGCATCATGGACACACATATAATATCGGGTGGGCTTATCCTGTCGGGTGATAAATTAGCTAAACATCACGATCGTGTACTTGGAAACAGACGACTATTGTATAATAATAACAGTATTATTATACGCGCCTTCGGCCGGATTTGCCGTTAATCCGTTCGCCGTTCGGGAGATTTATGCACATCCGGCGAAGGTGTGAACGAAAATAAATAAATAAAATAATAAAACGATGACCGGACACGAGCGTGTGACGCAGGTTCGTGCTGTGCCCGATTCATCCCCAGGTATTGGAACAAGGGCGGGTGAGAAAAAATGAACGCGCGGGGAAGTCCTAGCCGCGGGAAAAAATTCGACCGCCGCGTCGTCGTCGAGGGAATTCCGCGAGGGCGAGTCTGTCGCGCAATCCGGGAGCGCGCGTGTCACGGCGGTAGTCGGAAAATACCATTTTTCGGCCGGAAATGGGCACGTCCGGAAATCGGGCCGGAAGACGTAAACGCGTGTTTCGCCACCGTTGTACATGGGCGAATGTTATGTGACACGTCTACGATGACGTTTCATCGCCGTCGTTCCCGTCAACTCGACGCTCGTGTCGTCCCCGTGTCTATACAACTGCGCAAGCATTGTACGACAAGAGATAAAAAATTGTTCTGCCGGCGACCAGGTGACGGTAATACGATCGGCGACGTCGGTCGGGTGAATCGTGCAATACGTCCTATATACAGGGCGATACCAATATCACGGACCTTTATACGCGAAGATTTCCACCGTGATAAATTTGATTTTAGTCGTTTTATCGAATCGTTTAATATCGTCACGAAATAATTTCAAAACGTACACGATGTAAGTCATGCAGTGGCGTGCCCAGGAATTATCAATGGGAGAGCATGTAACAAATAAGAATTGTGAATAAATTGTAAGTTCCTTTTCTCTACCCAAATCGACTGTGATAATTGGCAATTTAATAGCCGGATCCTAAAAAAAGAATAGTTCCTAATCAATACGTCAAGTTTTTCCACGTAACTTGGCTGAAATATATGCATTTCGACATTAGATAACTCATATATTTTTGTATTTCAAGCCGGAGGAGGGAGGATATAACCCCTAATCTCCCCCCTGTGCACGTCACTGAAGTCATGTTATAATTAAATTTCATATTCGTGTTTAGACATAACCCCCTCGCCCCCGTATACGATCTACAATTGGTTCGCTGCGGGTGTGATTATATAAGAACAGGATTTGTATGCCCTCAAACGCACCGAAAGAAAAAGCCGAAAATACAATTAAACAGCGAAAAATACAAAATAATAGTTTCACTTTTGTAATATCTGTTATAATATATTAATCGAATTATGTATGTAATCACTTCGTAGCTACTTGAATTGAATTATTCAAGCGCAGCAAAATAAAACAATAGAAACGTGTACTTAACATTGAAATCTAGTAAATCCGATATTGGTGAAACGAAATAATTCACGTTTCGAGTGTGAAAACGCGGGTCGCCGTTGGAAAATCAAAAGCCGACGAGTGTGACGAGTAAAATAAAAACCAAAATCAATGTGAATGTATTATATACTATATACTCGAAACCTTCGTACGCCAGATAATGGCTGGGTCGTATACCACCCTGTATATGCGCGCGCGCGCGCGCGCGTGTGTGTGTGTGTGTGTGTGTGTGTTTTGGGGTCGAGAAGGGGTAGCGGCCGTACACGGGATGAGAGGGTGTTTCGCTGCTCTATATCTCGACGTGACGCGCGCGTGTATATACAGCAGCCCTCCTCCAGCCACCTCCGCGGCCGATACTCACCTGCCGCCCTGGCCTCCTTGCACTCCTGGTACATGTCGGCCTTTATCTCCGGATTGTCGTCCGCAATAGTCTCGCCGACGGTCACGAACCGCTCGATGGCCAAATTCACCCCCTGGCCGACCCTGGCGATCGCTCTGGCCGTCCGCTCCGTACAAAACGGCCGTTCCCTGTGCGCCACCAACGTCGATATCTGAAACACAAATGTACACGACAAAATGATAATAAGTCGCGTAGAATTCAAAACTCGGTATTGGCAAAATTATTGTGCGCGTTACATGAAATGGTATACAATAATTGCGTTACAGAAAAAAATGAAAATGAAAATATACACGATATTTAAATTTCCCTAGGTATATACAGTGTGTTCAGTCATGTATAATATTATGTATACCAGTATATCGTTATGCGCGCGTCTGAGTCCCACGACCTTATACGTAGAAAAATGCGATTTTTCTCCGCGGCAGCAGTTTTAGAAGGTACCGAAATGCACATTTTAAGAAAATTCAAAAAGTTAAACTTTGCCGATGAATGTTCCGTGCGCGATACAACTCGGTTTTGTTTCGATAGAATTCTAATTTCTGTCGCCACATTTGAATACAATGATTTACTCATTTTATTTATCGAAAATAGCTGTAACTCGGTCAATTTTAGATTCAGTACCAGAGGAATCGACGGATCAAAATGTGTTTAAAAAGAAATTCACCTAGCCATTTCCGGTATATCAATAACGGGGGTTGCAATTTAAAACAATTAAAAAAAAACCAAGTAGTATTTCGCGTGTTCACGCGTCGACGGATTTAAACAATTTAAAAATTCTTGAAATGATGTGTACTTCGGTATCCATTTGCATAGGTCACAGAACATCGCATTTCAATCTATGGACGTCGGTAAGAGAAATTTAGCGGCACGTATAAGACGGGACACGCTGTATATTATTATACGACGTTGGTGTGAAACCCTTTCCCGTCACGGCTATAACGATGGAAAAATGATTACATACGTATACACTATATAATATTATACTGCAGTATACTCTATTTACCGTTATATACGTATTGCATATTGTGTATAGAGCGGTATACGTTTTTCTTTTTATCGCTTCAAAGGCTCGGAGATTCATTGTATAAATGTATATATATATAAAAAAAAAAAAAAAAAAGCAAATAAATAAAACATAACGATGGTTCCAATTACACGCGGTGTACTAGTCGTCTGTTTTATCTATATGGTATGTAAGTACACATAAAGACGAAAATGCGTTGACGTCTGTTTCTCGTTTTACCCATCTTCCCTCGTCACTGCGGGAGACTAATGCATTATAATATATGTGCCTACACGAATACACGATCGAAGGGGTAATAAAATATGTAGGTAATGCTTACAATATATTATCTCGGTTTGAATATTCAGAACTTATAATCGATATACGTACCGATAGGACACCGGTCTACAATAATGTAATGTAATATTATGATCGGCGGTACAGTATACAAATACGCGCATTGTATATTCGTGGAAAACTAAAAAAAGTAAAATATACTGGGAAAAATGAAAGTACACCCGAAAATAAAAGTATGTGAATTAAATATGGAAAAAAAATATTTTATGATTTATAAAAATATCTATAACAATTATTAATCGTGAATTATAATACAAATAATAATAAATCAGTGCGATATTGAATTGCTTTGATTTGAAAATTCAAAATTATTATCTTGTTTAATCAAAACGATAGATCTTTAAAAATGTTTATATTAAGTTGTTTTACATTGTATAAATATTTGTTGTCTACTTACATGAATATTATTCATTCATTACGGTCATAAAACAGATTCATGAATATCAAAAATAAACCGTATCGAAATTAGCATGCGACAAAAATTAATATTTATGAATTTCTAAAGGAAAAAATAACAACACACGCGACCAAATTATAGCGAACAATTATTAAAAAAAAAAAAAACACAAAGCATAATAAACTGAAATAATATTCAAAGTTTTATTAAACGATTCCGGTGCATTTGAAAATAATAATAATAATACTAAAATATAACCTTGTGTTATTTTAATGCAAATATGATAATATTTAAATCGTCCGACAAAATAGAAACCGAAGAAGTTCAAAAACAAAATATGTAAGAAGAACTTGCAGACCTGTTTATGATGAAACAACAAATAATTGGCGAAGATACAACATTTGCGAGAGTATGACACGGTATTAACGTATAGCCAGTGACGAATTTTGAGGTTAGACTTCAGAGACTGAATAATTGAAAAGGTCATATAATAAGAAGAAATAACGGTAGAATGTAAGTTTGAGTAGAAGAAACTTTGAGTGATAGACCAGGAGAAAAGGGATCGACGTACTTGAATATGAATATTAGAGTTCTGGGAATGCAAGACCGGAGAATCGTGGTCCACAATAGGAATTAGATGGAGTGATGTTGTATGGTTGTAAAAACCATTAGAGAATGGAAAAAGCCAGAAGAAAAGGAAATATTGTAATTGAATAATGTTTGTACGTATATGAAGAAAATCCCACTGGAAAAAGACCACATGAAAGACGCAGTGAGGTAGAAGACACAGGCAGCGGATGAAGGAAACTGGAGGCGAAATTGTAGGGCAGGAATAGATCCTAGAGACGGATTACCTTAAAGAAAAATTATTTGTAATAATTAAAAATATTGATTATTATCGTCACATTACGCTTTATAACACGTACATTTATATATTTTTATGCTACGGTTCGGTAGTAAGTTATTATTGCAAGTTTTGATTAGGAACATCATTTTATATCTAACGGGGTAGCTATCATTTTGGTAATAAACGTGTGAACTTGAAATTGAGACATGGAACTTAAAAGATAATCTAAACCGACCGTTGCAGATGACGTATACATTTTGTTGCATTTTGTTCGATGATACATTTACATTATGTAAATTAAAATAATTTAACGAACAAGTATAATTACATTAAGAGAAATTAGCATTTTTGTACAAATATTATAAATGAAAAATAAATAAATATGAAGAAAAACATACCCGGAGTATTACAGTCAATTGTGTATATTTACGACGAAAATTAAGGCGACTGAATACAAAAACAAAACGAGAAGTACACAGAACATATAAGCAATTTATTATAGAGTAAATTATTTTTTTTAAAAGAGATTGTAAAAAAAGGAATGAAATATGACATCGATTTTATGACATTATATTTATTATTATCTAAAATATATTACTGCAGAATATTATTTTTTTTATTGTTGTTTTTAATTTCATTAATAATGAATCATTGTTATATTTCATATTAGATTCTGAGCGGAGCGAGGAATGTATTGGTTTTACAATGACGTTTATTAATTTTTTTTTCTGTGAACAACTTTTGTACCAACAATTTTGCTCTGATTTTCGAGTGTAACACCTTTTCTGAAAGAAAATTTGACTGGGGTGATATTTTAAGACAATTATTTTTTGGTTTTATAATGAGTTTTCTCTGGGAAAAAACGTAGGAAAACCGGGAAAATTGACGAAATGTATTATTTTAAAATCTTAAATATTAAGGCATTTCGAAACATGTGTGACCAATTTCCGCCCAGAATCATTTTTTGTTAGCAATGATAAATTTTTGTGTACAAATATACATTAAATTTCCCCTTTACCTTCTGAACTTCTCACCCATAACAACGGCCCATCCATCGTGCGAAGTAGCGAAGTTTGTCCGCTTGTTATATTTTATAATTTTGAGACTCTTTCGGTACGTAAGCTAATATAAATAATATGTATCATAAAAAAAAAGTTAGACATACTTTGCACCATGGTTCATATTTAGGTCACTATTGTAGATGGACAGTTCGGAAGGTATAATATTTATAGTAATTTAATTTATTACATACTGTATAATGTGATAAATCACTACGAACGATAAACGATTCTGAATGGAGTAATATTAGCTGTTCTTTTCTCTTGTCACCAAAGTAACCCACACATCGATAAAAACAAAAAAGACCTAGGAAGTGAACTGTATTCCGATAAATTGTTTCAAATAAAATACCATCGCCCGGAAATTTCGTATTTTTTGAGGTATACTGCGCGACAAATTCGGAACATTTTTAGAAACAACAAAAAGTGGTTTTAGAGAAAACACAAAAGCAATCTTTTTAGAACTTCAAAATATTTTTCAAATAAAATCTAAAATAAAAATAGAAATAGAAATAAAAATCCACGTATTCTGAGGTACGCCGTGGAAAAATTAGACCATAATATTAGTAGTTACTAACCGTAAGAATGTTTTCTGAGAAAAAAAACAAACACATCTTTGTAAAACTAATAGCTTCTTTGTTACACTCAGGATCTAAACAATTTTCTAAACAAATTATTCGTGCGTTGAAAGTTCAGATAATATGAAATAAGTATATACAGTATATAATTCTTATGATATAGGTTAATAATAATTTGTTAAATACATTTTTAAGAGTTTTTATTAATTTTTTAATGTTATATTTTTAAGACTCGCACATGTAACAGGTATAGTGTCATTTCTAATAATTTTTTTTTCAAGTGTACATCGAGTATAATTATCTATTATTACGAGTACAACACATGCGTGTGATTTCGTATTTTTAATTATATTTCCTTCATCTTTTTCCATAACTTATTTTTACAAAGATATGAAATTAAATAGTAATATTATACTAGTATAGCAGTATTAAGGAAAGAATATAATATATTGATCGGCAATTTAATTAAAACGTGTTGTATTTATTAAAAAAAAAATGAAAAATGTTAAATAATTGTTTTTTATGCCAACCATCCAAATTAATTAAATACAAATAATAATTTATGTGTTAAAATCAATTTGTTACACGACGATATAAAGGAATCAAAAATGGTTTCAATGAAAATAGACATAATACGCGTAACTAATTTATTATAATATTAATAATAATTTTTAGTTTGTTTTTTTTTTTTTTTAATGTCTATTATGTCATCAATGTAGTTTTTTACAATCAGTTTTAATTTTTGTATTCAGTAGATACCATACCAGCAAAATGCTGCCACCGTTATACTGATCAATCTGATGAAAAAGACTTCAGAGTAATTTTTGATTTCCATTAGGATGATTTCAATTTTTAATTTTGTAACCAAATACTCCTCCCCCCCCAAAAAAAAAGAAAATTAGAAAAATAGTCAGTCATATTCAAACTTTAATTATAAGGTTCGGAAAAATAATTTTCAAAACCCAAATCCAATGCGTCAGAAGTCATATTTTTAACAATAATAAGACAAATTATCGACTACTCTTCGAGGTAGAAGAGATAACTTATTGTAAAACAATTATTTAGCCTTTCGGACAAAAATAAAAAAACAAGACGTGACTTGTACCCGTAAAAAAAAGTAATTTTATGCGGAGTCATAAAAATATTTATACAATATTAGACATTCTGGCTATGACAAACATAATAAAGTTACACTATATACACAATGTGTTATACAGGTAAGTTAAAATTACATTTTAATTAGGTATTTCAAAATAACGGAATTATAATTATATTTGATATTGGAATACGCAAGCATTTGATATTTTTTATAAGCGTGACTATATTTATCAAACCTATTATTATGAAAAATACACTTATACAATTTTCCACAAACGTTAAATAATATTATTTTAAGGTGTGTGGGTAAATAAAACGATAAAGGCGCCATATAATTGCATATTTTATAAGTCTGCAGAAACGATAAAATGTCTCGAAAATTATTACGTACCATTTTTAATTTATTTTTCTGTAAATTCCTAAATATTACATAACATTGATTGGATACCTACCTATTAAAATATCTGCTTAAATAAATGAGCCAGTAATTAATAATAATTGAGATCTCACATAATCGAATGGTTTCTCAAACAATTCGGATGAGAGGATGTATACAAAAAAAAGGCGGAAATAAATTACACGATACATGGGCTACTGCGGTTGTTTTAGGACATCTAGGAAAAGCAAATATAAATATTCTGTCCAAATTCCAAGTCTCTACGAATTTTTTAAACTGAATAACAACAAAAAAACAAAATTGAAAATAATACATTTCGTAAATTTTCCCAGTTTTTCCAATTTATTATTAAAATCCCTAGAAAAATCAAAAAATTACTGTCTTAAAGGATACCCGGATAAAATTTTCTTTCATAAAATTGATTACACTTCAAAATTGGAGCAAAATTTCTGGTATAAAAGTACAAATAAACAAACAAAAAAATAAACATCATTGTAAAATCAATACAATTTTCACTTCACTTAAAATCTAAACGTCACAAGTTTTAACTATCTATGTGTAAAATTAAGCATCAAAAAATGGCAGAGCCCGTTTGATAGGCATTCGTATAAATAAGTCCGAGGAAATATTATACTACGAAGTACTTTCTCGAGAAACTAAAAAAAGCTTTATATTGCGACCATTAAGACCAATGTTTACAGTCTTCACATCGCCAGCCAAAATTGAAACATTAAAACGTCCAAGAACCAAGTAGAATTGGTAGCCTCGTTTATAATAAAACAAAAAATAATCGGTGGATTCTAGAACAGCTAGGGTTTTAATGTTTTCAAAGAGAGATATAAGAAACTTATCATTCTAGATTTAAACGAAGCCCATACAATGCGATGGTTGGAACTGACCCTAAGACTGGCCTACCGTCAAGTATATTGCCACACACTATATTACAAGGGATACCATCAAACGAAAATAGAAAACGCAAACAAAGAGAAGAACGACAAAATGCACGAGACAACTTAAAAATACAAGAAAAAAAAATAAATAATTTATCAAATACTAAATTTCCAGAAGCAAAATTAGGTTCAAAAGTTCAAATTAAAATTCCTGATGTTGGTAAAGGGAGGGAAGACCCTCGATCGGTAATTGCTGTGGTTCTCAAAATGACTGAAGACAGGTTCTATCAACTTCAATGTAAAAATGGTACGTATAAGATTTATTGATTTTTTTTTTTAAATTTATATATTTTAACAATACCTTAGTTTTTGAAATAGGTATTTCAAAACAGTTAAATGTGCATTTCCAATTCACTATTTGTTCCGAAAACCTATATCATTAAGCGATGTTCCTTAAGAAACACAAATTTCTCTACGATTTACAGCTACAGAACAATAAATTGGAAATTGACTGGGTTTTTGTAATGTGCTTGTATCACTAAATGCACCAATAATCGATGTATATGCTGTAAGAATGGTGTTTTGTGCAATTCAAAACGTCACCAAAATCAATCGTGTACTAATTTTGATAAATAATATGGGTAATATAATTGTAATTGTAATGTAATGTAATCTTGTATAAAATATTTTTTTTTTTTTATAAAATATAAGTAATAATCATAATTATTCGTTTACCCACTTTAACTAGTTATTCATTTATACATTTTAAAGATTCATAGTCTGTAATTGTATAATATAACAAGTTATTCTATGCATTTTCTAGATAAAGTATTTATATAATTTGAATGTAAACACTTTAACAAAAACGTTATGGTAAATTATAAAATAACTGGTTCAATAATTTAACGGTATTATTAAACATAAAAATGTAATGTTTTAGTATACCATTACCATTACATATCAGCGAAACTATTTGTGTATCACGGTAAAAAATCATAAACAATAATATAACGCCCATCATACTGTGTAGCCGATATCGTGCGTAAGTAAAGGTATAATGGAAATTATTACCCCTTCATACTCCTCCGAACAAATTACCTAGCTTAGTGCAATTAGTTTAGAAAAAAAAAAAATTTAAAAATTTCTCAACATTGATTTTTCTCCGTTGACAGGTTTCGTTTTTTTTTTTTTTATAACTAACACGCGACCAAAATAAAATAAAAAATACTCCGTTCCCGAGGCAACCTTTATACTGTATACTTATTAGGTATATAGGAGTTTAGGATAATATTCCGAAAGGTTTGACCGCGCCGCAACCTTACCGCGTCGCGTAGGTCGCGTTAGCCGAGAAACGATAAACCTAACCTATCTACTATTTATTATTATTATTTTTTTTTTTCCCCATAGCAAAATTCTCGGGAAACCCGTATTATATCCACCGCGGACCACCGCACGTACGTAAACTACTTACTTAAAACGCGAAAGTCTATTTCAGTCTATTGGTTTTTACCGTAAATATACGACCCTGGGACCTATATTGAACATAAGCTCCGCTTAAAGAAAGAAAAAAAACAACACGTTAACTGTCTAAAAACCGCGAACCAACACTTATTATTGTGCTTGTACATTATTAACGGTGCACCGATGTCGAATTTCGGATAGTTTTAAAAAATAATAATAACGGTGTGCGGTCGGCGAAACGAATCGTTGCACATTATTATTGTGTTTGGAGGTAGGTGTTTTTCGCTGTACTTTATTATACTTGAGAATTCATCGCGATTACCAATAATTTACTGCACGGCTGTATAATGGTAAAATCTTTGGGTGCGCTGGTTCCGGTTCTTAGTGGAACCGAAGAACCGAATGAACCGTTAATTATCGGTTCCGGTTTTAGTTTTTTTTTTTTTTTTTCGGTGAGGTTACGCCGGTTTTAATAATTTGTTTCTTTTGGTAAATATCTTAGCCCGTAGTTTTTATAGAACGACGCATTATTATTGTGATATCACCGATAACTGATATAATCAATAGGGCGATTTGTTATCCTATGAATTATTGTACAACGAGCACAGGTATATAAAATACTTTTACGCAATTCTATATATCCGTGATAACGAGTGTTTAAAGCCGTTGGTTCGTTTTTCGCAATTTTTAAAATTTTGTATTTTCAGTTAGTTAGGTAAGATTTTAAGTGGATGAAAAAAATAGTACAAGTAGTACAAGCGGATTGTTCTTTTATTGTTTTCACGCTATAAAATGAAGGACCGCGGTAAATCGAGGCCCGAAAGAAGAATTTTCGGAACTGGATAAAAACCGATATTTACTAATATTTTTTCTCGAACCCACAGCCAATCCCTAGTTGATACTGAACATTTTCCTAATAGAAATAAAAATGTCAGCGCATAATTCACGGTGGACTTTCGGAAAACCTGCAGCAATAATCGCGCGCTCGACTCAGTTTTGGTCTGCAACGACTTTCAGAGGTGCGGCATATTTTCCGAAAACACAGGGGGAGGTCGTTTTTTTTTGGATTTCATGGCAATTATAGTATTGTTGGTTTTTTTTTTTTTCTTTTTTCGTTCACCTACATACACGCGATTTATGAATTGTAAATACGAAACATTAAACACACTGTGCGGGAAATTAAAACGCAGTACTTATAACCCGTATAAGTAAATGGAAAAAAAAAAAAAAAAAAAATTGTTTTTGGAGTCTTTATTATTTAACCTATACGGCTGTACACGCCGAACCGAGTAAAATGTCAAATTAAATGACCCGTTACTTCGGGCAATATTACGTCTATGTATAGGTATATATATACACAGAAGAGACGTTTATATACATATATACTCGAACAAGTGTATTTTTTGTTTTTTGTTTACTTTGTTAACGAAAGAAAAATCGTTAGTGGCGTGAAAATAAAATATTACGAACGTTTGTAATATGTGTCCCTCTCGAAAACGGAACCATACACGCTGTAATAATATATTATAGTATAGGAGTTTAACCTGCAATACCTACGGCACGAAAGTCGATCGTACATTTCGCGTATTGTACAGGGTGTTCCGTGCGAACGGGGTAATTCGAAATATTTCACAGCCGAACGGAATCGGTTGAAATACGATCGCCCACGCATTTTGAACCTATTTTCCAAAAGTTCGTTAAATAAAACTTAGATGTTCGCCTTATTTTTAACGCCAAATTCGAATAGTCCGTTTTTTTTTTTTTTCAAGTAACGCGTGTATTTCTGTTACCCTAATAATGTGTGCAATATTTTATGATTATTTTTACTCAATTATCATTTTTCGTATACGGTGAAAATTCGGAAAAACTTTCTTTTTTTTTTTAATAGTCTTTAGATGGTTGCGGTATCTCAGGCGATTTTTGAGATAGGAAAAAATTGCTTTAACCAAAATCGCTCAACGAAATAACATATGACTATTCGAATAATACAGTGTTAAAAATAGGCGTTTTATTTGTGAAAATAATGTATGTTTTATTTCGCATGGGCTCGCCGCAATGGTTGAAATGTTAAAATAATAGACTCGAAATGTGTATTTGGCGGAATCCGATTTTACTAAAACAAAAAAAAAAAAACACCCATTATTTCAATTCTATTTCAATATTTTGTATAACCATTTGTGCGAAACACACTGTATAATATAGACTTGCAATATGAGTTCACCGCTAATAAGCCAATTTAATCGCGCAAGTTTTCAAACAAATAAACTCTATACAAAACTCTAAGACTATATAACAACTTTTATACGAAAGACTTAACAATATTTCAGAAATGATCCCGAAAATTATATTTAATAGACCGAACTTTGACGTGATTCCTCGATTTCTTCGAAACGCTCACGTTAAAACATTCGTTCGCTATGACCTACCTTGTATTTATGTAGGAATCTCTTGGCTAAAATAAATATTTACTCGCCGTCGCACAGATCGCGAACGTTTAGGATAAAATGACCGGAGGGATCAATATGTGTCATCGACTTCTTCTCTCGAAGACACAAACTTCACAACGATTAATCAAAACCGCGAGCCGAGCATTACTTTGTCGTTCCAAAGGATCGGCGACATCATTAACACGTTATCAGGTGTACAAAAAAAAAAAAATAAAAACAAAAACAAAATAACCATATAGGTTAAATAATGTATTTTAATCGAATTTAAATAAAAACCTGTACACAGTGGCGTATATGAGGGTTAAGAATTTTTTTAGCGGTGGTGTTTGCATTATCAGATTATAAATTACCGTTTTAATACTCTTCAGACAAGACTTGAACATATATTTAATTAGTATCGTTACTTATTATTCATAAAATATTTACTATACTAAAACTATAGGAAAAACGGAAGGGAATTTCTATCCATGAGGAACGTAAACGCGAATTTCCGTACCTCCTGAAAAAAAAAAAAATGAACCGCATGTTACTTTAATGATAATATTGTCTAGAAATTATTTAGTGGTCATTTCGTCAGTTACTAATAAATCACCACAATACAGTTTATTGCAATAATGAAATCCCGACTTTTCCATTTGTATTAATAACATGCAAAGTACATAATATAAACCGCGGTTGTATAACCGTGATTTAAACGGTGTATCGGTGATAACGGTTTTAAAATGACAAAACATTAATGAAATTTGAGAGAAAAATAAAAGAGTACGCTTAAAGGAACGAGTTATTTTTTTGCAGTAAAAACGGGGAATGAATTCGTTTTTAAAAGGAACTTTCCCAACACTGTTTAAACTGTATACGAGTTTGTTTATTTATGTACACAATATGTTACTGTGTTATTAATTGCAAACATTAGCTTTTGCTTTTGCTTCATTTGCGTATTGCTTTATTTAACATGCGTAGAGATATCGGATAAGCAGTCATGGCTGATCGCTCGCAAGTGAAAAAAAAAAGATATCTATGTTACTTTTTTTTTATAATACCTATTTGGCTACTACGCCAAATAATTGGAAACGTGGCAAAGGGATATAGAAAATTATTATTAAAAAAATGACCTCTCGAATGCGCCAACTAGATAAAATCTCCTTCGGAAAAGGTGCTAAACTTGATACATCGGAGCGAAATTTCTTTTCGAAAAGTTGTTTACGGACAGAAAAAAAAACACACACACACATCATATAGTAAATCAATACGTCCCTCGGTACGCTCCGAATTTGAAAATAATAACTACAGATGTCTTTTTAGCGATGAGTTCGCGATATTTTAAGACGGGCATTACAATCAATTTTCGAACCGTCCGTACCTCTCGATTGAGCTTCGGATACGCCACCGCGTTTCCGATTAGATACTCGGGGTTTCATTAGGTTCATCAATTTATTTTCTAGTTTATAATAACTCATCGAAATTGTGTACAAGCACAAAAAATACACGGGAAATAGATGTATTTTAGTTTACCGCCTATATATCGGTGGGTACTTAGTTCCGTAACGAATTCGCTACTGGTCGCTGGTTTTGAACGGATTAAAGTTTTCCCCTGAACAGCCGAGGAACCCGCGGAAAACCGTTTGGATTCGCCACCGACAATGCGTAAAACGAATCCATAGATGATCGTCGGAACGCATTTTTCAACGGCGGCGTTATTGTATGACGCGTAGTCGTGTAGCATAATACTATACAGACGCTCGCGGACGGAAAAAACTGAAAATTTGATGAATCGTGTTTTTAGTGCGCGGCGTCATTCATTGACTCGTCGTATACGCGCGTGCTTCCCCTCCCGCCAACTCCTACTTCTCTAAAAAAAAAAAATAAATAAATAAAACGTCCACGCCTATATATTATACGCTCTATTTTCCCGCAGTCGTTCCAATGACGCCCCGTACTAAGACTCTAAGGGGTACAGACTGTAATAATTTCAATATCCTCGCCGTATCCGCGCGCGAGATTATCGGTTTATTATTCCGGACGTCGGTAACATCGGTTCTTAACCGAGTACACGGGTTAGGCGTCTATTATACGATGGCTATTATTATTATTATTACAATTATTATTATTATTATTATACGGTCGGTGGCGGGATCGGATCGAATTCACAGGCGGATTTCGTTTTCGACAACACGTCGGGCACGTACGACGGACGGGCCGCGGGAGGAGACGCGGGGATACGATATAAGCGATACGACGACGACGACGTGGACTATCGACGAGAGATCGCGACCCGCCGAAGTCCCCGGGGCTGCCGGATGTGTCGCGCCGGGCACCGTCATTATTAGCGCTGCAATAAAAAGACGCGTTGTTTTTATACCTATAGATAAGAGATAAGAGATAACGGGTGGCCAAACGACACTGCACTGTCCGGACCGAGACGCGCCTGCTGTATTAATTATAACGCGCACCAATAGTAATATTTTAATCGGTCCGCACAAATCTCGGCGACTTTTAGACAAAAAAATTTAACAACAATGGAACCTTGACGGCGAGAATTCCAGAACCGGATCCAAAAAAGCCGATTTCTATTCGACGAATCGTGATTTCTTCCCTGTAGACCGACGAAAAATACACGACTTCGATACGGGATTGGTAAACGAACACCCGCGGTCGTTGTATTTTCAAGCCAACGCGGGACGGGATTTATAAACCCTTATCACCCCCTAAGCGCGCCACTGATGTACAGATGTCAAACAAGTCGATAACCGTTTGTATACATGTACGATTCAAATATCGTCGGCGTAGTAAATATTAACGATATTCAAACAAGATCCGTCTGCAGAGACCATGTACTATCCGATTACTTAAATGCCCATTCGCCTCGGGTCCCTCAATGGATTATTTCCCGTCGTTCGTTCCGGACACAAATTAAAGACGATAGCGATAAACGAATGAAATTTGGAAAAAATGAAAACACCTATCTACAACCCTGGTGCCTCCCACGCATAACACGACCGCGTGGTGCACAGGTACCAGTGGCGGCGGTGGCGGTGGTGGTGGCGTCGGCGGCGGCGGCGGCGGCGGCGGCTTACCTGCTGTCTGCCGCAGTGGTCGCCGAGCACGGCCATGTCGCGTGTCTGTTCTGTCGCCCCGTGTCGGTATGTCGTCGCAGCGTATGTCTTTTTCCCTCTCAAATATTTACACGGTGGCGGCGACGTGTAGCACCCGGCAGCGGGTCCGAAACGATGCGGCGTGCGGGTCCGGGAGAGTTATACAAAAACGGTGTGTTATTAACGAGACGGGCACGATAAAAAGCCCGAGAGAAAAAATACAGACGGCGTAAATTATTATTATTATTATTATATTCGAAATGCGGCAAAAACAAAAACAAAATCCTTGTAAAAATCAAAATGAAAAAAAAAACCGAAATTTATTTTTTAATAACAATTTTATATTTTATTCGACTTTATATTACTCTTCGGTAGAGAAACCGCGCGATTTATTTTTTTTTTTTTTTTACATAAAAAATACATTCGTACGTGATAAAAACGAAACAAAACAAAACAAAACAAAACTCAAAAATAAAAAAAATTAACGAAACCCGCGCGTGTGTGTGTGTGTGTTTACGTGTCGAGGTATTGATGATGTGAGCGCGGTTTGAATTAGTATGAATTTTTGAATTTTTTATTTTTTATTTTTTTATTATTAAAATTAATAATAACATATAATTATCGTCATGTGTGTGTGTGTTTGTGTGTGTATGTGTATGTGTGTGTGTGGTGTTAATGCGTATGTACGTGTATTAGTGCGTGTGTGTGTGTGTGTGTGTGTATGTTTCGAGGGGGGACGACGGCGGCGGCTGCGGCGGCGGCGACGGCGGCGTCGGCGGCGTCCGGCGGCGATCTGCTGGTGCTTGTGCTGGCTGCTGCTGCTGCTGCTGCCGCCGCCGCCGCCGCCGCTGGTGCTCGTGCCCGGTATACGGTGCGCGCGCTCAAAGCTGGCGCGTGCGGGTAACGCGCGCGAACGACGACGACGCCGGACCCGCCGCCGCCGCCAATCAATAAAAACCCACCGTCACCGCCACTGGCGTCGTCCGCGTCGTCGTCGTCATCGTCTCCGTACTCGCCACTGGCGGCGGTGGCGGCGGCGGCGGCGGCGGCGGCGGCACCGCTATCTGACTTTTCGCCGTGATACGGTTAACCTCAAAACAACGACCCAGCGGGAAAAACGGTCCGACGGTTTTCCGAGCCCTTTATCAGCCGGCGGCGGCCGCGCACGATTCGCGTTGATAATAATAATAATGACAACAACAACAATAATAATGTTGTGTACTACACTCGTCCGTTCGTTTCGCGTGTTACCGCCAATTCGCGTACGCGCGCCGCAACGTCGCGTGCAGTCACCACAGTTTACGGGGTGCGCGGCGCACAATAATTACAACAGTGCGGAACGAAAGCCGGTCAAGTGCGCGGCTCGTCGTCGTAATTCGCAACACGGAAAAACGCCGTGCGCGGCTCGTATAAATATAATAACATTATTATTGTACGCGTTATGTGGGTCACACCTGGCATTCTATTTTGGTTTTAGAACCGAAGCTGCTGGGTGCCGCTCGCTGTAGCGCCGCTGTTTCCCGCCGCCGTGCTCTACTCTGCTGCCCGCGAATAATTCGCGACCGTCGCGACGGCCATACAATCGCCGTGATAACAATAATAATATCGCCTATACCTATACCGGTGCGATCGTCGCAGCGGAACGATAAAAGGACACGGCGCGTCGGCGTCGTTGGTTACCGGCCGTATCGCCGGCTGCACACATGCGCGCGAGGGACGGGGCGGTAATATTCGAACGTACCACGCGCGCGGTTACGAAAGCAGAGAGAGGTAGGTACCTGTTTGACGAGCGGCAACAGCGTGTGTTCGATGCTCTTGAGTTTGATCTCCACGTCGTCGTAGTCGTATCCGTCGCCGCATTGCGCGGCGCGGCCGCGGTGGCGCTTGTCGGCCGCGGCCGCCGACGACGACGGTGCCGTCGCTTCGAGCCATTGATGGTGCCGGGACGGTGTCGTCGGCGACGACGACGACGACGCCGGCGATGGTGCCGCCGGGACGACGGTCACGACAGGCGGCGGCGGTGCGTTTGACGACGGCGTCGCAGCCGGCGATTTGGCCATTTGGCATTATTCCGGGGCGCCGTGTTTATGCGGTGTGTGTGTGCGCGCGCGACGTGGCCCGGCGGCGGTGTGCGCGTGTACGTGCAGCGGTATACGCGGTGCGCCGCGTCCGGCTAACGCTGACGGTCGCGCGGTCGTCCTGTCTGTGCGTCCGCGTGTGCGTGTGTCGTCTCGGCGGAACAGGCGGCGCGCTCGCGCTCCCGTGTGTATGTGTGCGTATGTGTGCGTGTTTGTCTGCGTGAACGTCCCCCGTTATTAACGCTGGCTGCCGACAAAAAATTACGGCGTTAGCCGTGGCGGACGGTACGTCGCCGGTCGCGTCGTCCCGTTGCGCCGTTGTCGCTTGGCCGTCGTCCCATGCTGTCCGCGTTGCACCACCGCCGCGGTGGCTGTTATCGCGTGCGCGAACGAGCGTACCGGCATGCAGCCGTATTGTATACAGGGCGGCCGGTTTTTTCAATATTACCGTTCCGTCGTACGCGACGGCCGAGGCGCATAGCCGTACGGCGCACGCACGTACTTTGGCACGTGGTATACGGCGGCGTTCACGTGCGCGCGCCATCTCGCGTGCCGCCCGCTACACCCTATAAATAATTTCAAACGCCACCGAAGGCCGCCGAGACGAGTGTATAAATAATGCGATTAATGATAGTACAGAAAAAAGCAAAACATAAAAAAAAAAAAAAAAAAAAAAACGAGAAACCCTCTCTGGATCATAAGTACGTGCGACGGAGGTCAGTTGCTGCAGCGCTTCTCTCTCAGTCAGCAAAGTTTGTAACCGCTCGGTCGTAAAATTGTCGAGATATACGTGCTCACACACGCCATCTAATCGACAAAAAACTTTTTACTCTCTCTCCCCCCCCCCATCCGTATTTGTTCTTATTTCATCGGGATCCCACCGAACACGTTATCGGGAGACTGGAAAGATGTTTGAAATGCGTAGGTAGGTAGGTAGATACCGGCCGAGAGGAATAAAATATTATACTTTTGGCGTTTGACGCCAACGAAACAAGAAAAAAAAAAGCTAATAAATTGTAAATTTAGTTTGGCGCGCGAATTGCTCGTAGACGTTAAACAACCCGTAAAAGTACTTTGTGAGGGCCTCGGGGAGTGGGAAGCGGGAACGAATAAAACGAAATAAAAAGTTCTGCCGCACGGGGAACGCGCGGATTTATCATTAATATTATTATGCCCGCCTACCCTCCTTTGTGTCCGTATACGCTATACACGATCTTTGTTATTTTATCCCAAAACTGTTCTATTATAATAGGAATAAGGATCCGTTTTCCCTTCAAATTGTTATATATTTGGTTTGAGAAAAAAATAAATCCAACGTATTACATTATAATAAATATAGGGTTCAGAGACGATAAATAATAATGACAATAAAAAAATACGAACATACTTCGCACGGGCCAGCGCCGTTGTAGTCGAGAAGTTTGGAAGGCAAAGAGGAAATATATTGAACATAATTATATGTACGCAACGATTAATCATTGCTTACGAAAAACGATCCTGAGCGGAGTTCGGTAGTACATGTCAGGAAATTTTCCCGTTTTTCCAACGTTATTCCAATTTGCTATGAAAACCCCTGGAAAAATCAAAAAATTACCTTCTTAAAGTACTACTCCATTAAGATTTTCTTTTAGAAAAAGTGTTATACCTGGAAACCGGATCAAAATTTCTAGTAGAAAAGTGTTTTATATGTTAAAACCAAAATTATTTTGATAAATCAATAGTTTATCTAATGTTTAAAGTCAGAAATACTCTCGGAAATAGTTCACCATAATGAGATAATATCATATTTCATAATTAATTATTTTGACTATTTTATCCTACCAATGGCGTATTTAGGGCTTTTTCGGGGGGCTGTCCTGACTCCTGGAAAAACTTTTTTTCCACAAATATTAACATAGCTTCATCACGAATTCATACCTGATTATAATATACCTTAAAACCTTATAAGTGGTAATTTTCTTGTAAAAAACCTTAGGATCGCTACTTCAATTTTTGATTATAATAAAATTATGATAGGAATAAAGTATAAACGATTTTACTGAATAAATTAAAACTAATTTAACATTTAAATTTACTGAATAATTTCCCATATCAGTTTAATTAATTTTGTTTATTCGTGTAATATACATAAACCTAATATTATAATTGTTTGGTAGTCTCCAATTATTATTAATTCATGATAGAAATTTTCAAAGCAGCTTTAAAATATTTCGTCATTCGTTAACAAAATTTTGCGATACTCCAGTAAAGAATAAAACTAGAAAAAATATTTACGGTGTTTTAACTCCCAGAACACCCCCTCTAAATACGCCACTATGTTCTTCTAAACTAAAATATAAGCTTCTTGCCTGCACTTTAAGAGATTTTTAGACATTGTCATCGTGTAAACGCTATCGCATATTAAACTGATTTCACTAGTACGTGTAATAAGTAATTATTGTGAGTACTGTATCATTTTTTTTTCTTCATAACCTAAGCTAAAGTACTTTTTTTTATTATTATTATTTAAATAAATTATCATGATCAAGAAAACCATGATGTGAGTAATAACATATATCTACGTACCTATTGTTTTATTGTACATTTTACCAATTCTAACGAAAAAAATAATTACAATGAACAATCAATGAAATATTTTATTTGTTTTATTTAATTATATGCAAAATAAAAAACAAAAACAGTATTAATAATACAAATGTATGTATTTCAAAATTATATGTTTTTTACGTAATTTTTATTTAGTAGGTACTACTTATAAAAATTATTAGACCAAATAGAAATCCTTGAACATTTAACAAGAAGTTAATTTTAAATTGTACTTATAGTGATCAATAAGAAAAAGTTGAATTGAATGTTTTTTTTTTATACAAATTTTATTATCAAATTTTAACGAAAATCGTAAATATTACGGCCTTTTAAAACATGTATCTAACCTAACTCCACTCAGAATCGTTTTTTATTAGCAATCATTAATCGTTGCATACAGATTTACATTAAATTTCCCTCTATATTCTACCTTCCCAACTTCTTGCCTACAACAGTGGCCCACCCACTGTGGGAAGTATGTACGTCTTTTTTAATTTTGTTTTGTTTTATTTTTTTATGGAAATATTTTTAGTAATATCGTGAACCTTCCTGCAGGTAACGAAATAAACAAACTTCGAGGTTTTTTTCAAAACATGTTTCAAAACGCAATGGTTTTTACGATGTTCGTACATTTTTAACTAAAATACCCCCTTAAAAAATCTACTATATAACGTTCAACTTTGTTTTCACCATCACTAAGTATAATTTATAAAAAAAAGTCACTCCCACGTACGTAAGGCGAATCTAGGGAGTGCTCAGCTCTCCAAACTTTTAAATTAGCACTCCCGGATTTTTCATATTAATAAGTAAATAAAAACACGAAGCAATATTGATTGAATTTATTTTAGATTCTGAGTGGAGCAAAGAAGCGTATAGTTTTACAAAGATGCTTATTTTTTTTTTATTTTTTTTTGTTAATAAATTTTATACCAGAAGACTTACTCGGATTTCTAAGTGTAGCACCTTTTCTGAAGGGAAATGAGTGTGGAGAGGTATTTTAAGGATTTTTTATTTTTCGATTTTCTTAAGTATTTTCTTATTAAATTTGAAAAACCGAAAAAACGGGAAAATATAAAAATGTAGTTATTAGTTAAAATATAATATATTACGGCCTTCTTCTTTTTTGTACATACGTTTTCTACAAACAATTTTGCTCCAACTTTTAATAATAACAATGTTTCTAAAAGGAAATTTCACTAGGGGGCTACTTTAGAGATGTCATTTTTCGATTTTCTCAAGAGTTTTATTATAAAATTTGAAAACCCGGGTTAAAAAATGAGAAAAGCGGGGAAAACGTAGACAAATTTGGAAAATCGGTACAACATTAAACAAATATTACTAAAGAAAATATATAAAGCCTATTTAATTATTTTACTATAAAATGACATGTATATTGTTGACAAAGCATCACTATCAACTGAACTCTGCTCAGAATCGTATTTTCATAAGAAATGTTTTATCATTGCTTACAGGTATACATCAATTATCTATAACAGTGGCTGCACCTGTTCCCATTATCCTAGGACGTCTTTTTATACTTATATCACCAAACGGATTAAATTGTTTTTGTCGCTTTCCAAACGATATCAGTATGTTAGGCATCGACGTTTGAGATCAATAGCAATCTTCTTAATGCCATTAAGTAAATACTATGGATTAAAACTTTGAACTTCTTAAGTCTTGCTATTCGTGCGAACCGTAAATGAATAAGCCGTTCTTTTACTGTGGTGGCTATTTCGATATTGCAGTACTTTGTTATTTTACGTTACATTTTAATGTTTGCTATCGGCAGGGTTCGGGACGTATTCAGGCATTTGCTTGTTTTTTCAGCTTAACATAAACTCTAGCAGAGTGCTATGAAAACTGATACGATCATGTTACAATGATTTCAAATATGAAAATGGAAAATGCTTTTATTAGCTTATTTCGATTGTTTTTAGACAAATTGATTTTTACTGGTTTTTCCGATTATTTTTTTTTTTTTTTGCATATCTTCGCCATAATTATAAGACGTACCACTGATAAAAACCTAATAATTTTAGTTAATTTCTAGTTTAGATTCTGAGTGAAGTTCCTATTATTTTTTAATCTTTTAATATTTTTTAAATAATCGTTGGTGACGTGAAAACGCACATTGCTGACAAATTCTCCGCTCAGAATCGTTTAAAAAATTTAAAATGTATTTTTTGAAAAATCTGTAAGAAGTCAAAATGTTCTCAAAAACTCAAAAATACTAAATGTTTTTGATTTTTATAGGATAAAATTTTGTTTTTTATTTTTAATTGCTTATTTGATTACTTGTATAATAAAGTATTTAAGTGTTTTTTTTCAGCGCCTTTTTTGATAATTATAAAAGTGCTATAAGTTCCAAATCCAGGTTATCAGAATGCGGGACG